AGGGGGTTTTTTTGGAAATGTGATCTCTCACCTTCCCCACCCCCTGAAAAGACTTTGTCCCGTTCATGATCAGTGTGACTCTTTGCTTTCTAGAATGTTTCCTTTCATTGCATATTGTCACCCATTGTTCTCTGTCCTTTGAATAATGTCTTAATCGTCAAGTATCCTCCTGTTATTGAACTATGTGCAGTATGAATATAGCAAAAGTAATGATAAAGTGTTATGAGTACTTGGCATCACCTTGAGCACTGTGTGTAGTTTTGGGCACCTCGACATAAGAAGGACATAAAGCTATTTAAGAGTCACCAGAGGAGGGCTGTGTACATGAGGAAGAGTCTAGAGGTTGAGCTGTATGAGAAGCGTCTGAGGTCCCTGGGTTTGCTCAGCCCAGAGCAGAGGAGCTGAGGGGATGCCTGATGGTGGCTGCAGCTCCTCACGGGGAGCAGAGAGGCAGCTCTGAGCTCTGCTCTGTGTGACAGTGACAGGGCCTGAGGGAACGGCGTGGAGCTGCGTCAGGGGAGGGCAGCTGGAGGTTAGGGAAAGGGTCTGCACCAGAGGGTGGGGGGAGCAGGCTGCCCATGCAGTGGGCATGGCCCTGAGTGCTGGAGGTCCAGGAGAGTTTGGGCAATAGTTTCACATATAGGGTTTGGTTTTTATGTGATTCTGTGTGGAGCCAGGATTTGAACTCAATGATCCTTGTGAGCCCCTTCAAAATTGAGTTATGCTGTAGTTTTATAAGTCAAAAACTCTACGATATAAAATGACATCTGAATATATAACTTAACTATGCAAATTAATAGCTCCATTTCTTTTTGTTACTTGCTAGCCACACCTCCTTTTTTTTTTTTAACACCATGTGCTCTGTGAGAAACCTTAAGACTGTTTTCTGAAAATGTGTATTGTGGAGATTATTCATATCTCTGTCTATCTGGTGATATAGTAATGCAGGGATGTGACAGCTACAGTGAATGGTTGGAAGTGTAGAAAATAACAAAATTTTCCTGCAACTTTGGACACTTTCCTGCAACTTTAAGTCACAGCTGTAATAGTGGCATTGAGTTGGAGATAGTGTCTTTTCTAGTTCAGGATTATTTCATATGAATTAAAAGTTTTCTAATTTCTTAATCATACTGTCATCAACATTTCCTACCTAATTCTGAATACATTTGGGAGTATTTTCTGCCCTTAAGTGCTTGCTATATTATTTTACTACTACTTTAAATATTCTGCTGGGAATCAGAAATTACTTGTTCAGTGGTATGATGTTTAAGTCTTATAAGTTGCCATGGGGTTCAGTGAATGAAAAATTTATAGAAAATGCATGATTCTACTATTTGGTAGTGTAAGAGTAATACAGCTTAAATATTTGTAGGATTTTTTTTTCCAGTATCAAGCTTCAACTGTTTTCAACCTAGTTCCCTCTTAAAGGTAGTGTTGTTAGGACTGTCACTGCCTTTCTTTATTTCAAAAGTGCTATAAAATTTTCCATTATTGAAACAGTAATTTCCTCTATGATTTACTAGATAGAAGCAGAAGTGACCAGCTGTGAATAGAGCAGACACATTGCATGGAAAAATTGCCATTACAATGTAAATAGGAATGTTTTTGTAAGTCAGAATGAGGAAAAAATGCATGAAATATAATAGTATGTAATTATTACAATTAGTTATTTTTAATGTAAGTATGCTTATTTGGTAAGCAGTTATATTACTGTGGTGAAAAATACATTAATACAGTAACTCTGAGTTATATGCCTTAATTCCTTGAAGATATTTGTTTATCTGTAAGACTTTTTTCTAGAACAAGAGAAATTAAAAAGTTGAAAATATCTTTTAATTCAAAGCTTTCTTTAAAAGAGTTAGCATCCACTAGTGATAAATGATGAAACCTTCAAAAGCAGATGGGGTGTCCACCTTTTATAACAAGGAAATCCATTCATGTTCTTGTTCACCATTGTGTGTGAGGTGAAAATCTAAAATTGCTGAGATTCATGATCTTACTATTCTTGTCATATTAAGGTTACACATCACAAAATTCTGTTTTACGCAAATCTGGAGGTTGACAATGTCTTGGTACCAGTGAAATGTAACCATTGTCTGAGAGCACGCCTAAGGAACAAGTCTCCAGATAACTTGGCAAGAATGATTTTGCAAATTATGCCCTGAAATCATGAATACTAAACATAGAACGAGAGAAGAAAATGGAGCACAAGGGAACTTTTACTAGATAGACTGCTTTGAGCGGATGGACTCCTATACTCAGCATAAATGCAAAGTTTAGTATTTTCAGGGTTTTTTGTGCGTCAAGAATTACGAGGCTTGAACCTACAGGGGACAGACATATGGATAGCTGTTACTATTTACAAACTTGTGGTCTTCTTGCCAAATTTTGTTGAGAAAGGTTTTGAATCTTGTATGAACTATAAGGATAATTTCAAGCTTTTTCTTCTTCTAGTGCTTGTGTATGAGATCCATGTTCACACAGGTGCTAAACTTGGTGCTGAAACAGATTTTAATGTTTATATCAATCTTATTGGGACAAGAGGAGATGCTGGCAAAAGGAAGCTCCATAGATCTAAGAACAATAAAGTAAAGTTTCAACATGGACAGGTGAAGTAAAATCAGTGCTAGTTCTGATCAATAAGAGTAAATTATGGCTTGCAAACTGTTTCTTCAACGTGTGTAAACATCTTCTTAGTTATTTTAATAAAAGTAACTTGCTGCTTTCTCATAGATTTTCTTTTTTCAATGCTACATACAGAATTACATAATGTGAATAATATTTATCTGTTGATTTTGGAAAAAAATTGTTTTCTAAAAGCACTGAATAGTAGAATTTATGTAGTGCTGATTATTTATATTAGACATACACATAAAATAGTAAAAATACCATTTTTGTTCTCCTGAATACATCATTATGAATTTTAGAATCAACCTCTAAATCCTTATTCCCAAGAGTTTTTCCATTCTTCGTGAGGCAGAAAGAGCTATAAAGATGACCAAAGCATTCTTCGCATTTAATCATTGTGTCACGTCAAAGGAATCAAATGCTATTCTGTGGAATATTTTTTAAGGTGCTCTTCACCTTGGAAAATTTTCATACATTTGTCCTATCTGGCCAAGACCAATATAAGAAACCCATGTTTATTTTGCAAAAGGAAAAAAAATAAATGACTATACTCTTAAAATGATAGCTGTGATTGTGACCTTTGTTATTTTCCTTGTATGTTTCCACAGATGGATATTTTCTTCATAAAGGCTGTCTCACTTGGAGACTTGGAGAAAGTTCTGATTAGCCATGATGGAACTGGTCCAGGTAGGATTTAACTTCCTAGAGACCAGTCTCTTTTCAAGTCCTTTTTAAATGTAACATGTTATTTATATTGCATCCTACATTCAGATTGGGACAGAAGGTCTTACAGTGATAAAAAGTCTTCCTGCAGAGCAATCACAGTGATGGGATGGTGAAAAACAGTGGTGATAGTCAGTAAAGAGGAAACAGATTTAATGTCAAATAATCCACTTCATTTTCAAGTTTATTTATAACAGAACACCATTCATTTGCATATTAAAAGTTCATGAAAATGTTGCTTACAAAAGTGAAATAATCTTTCATTAGACAGAGTAAAGACCAAATGGAATAGAAATAAAGATATTCAGCATCTGCTTCACTACCAATCAAATTTGAATAGCTATAGCCTTATTTCTTTGCTACTTTGGGCAATGGGAGTAGATGTTGTTATTAATTTAATCTGTGTAAGTCAATGTGGACCTGCTCCATTATCTGGCATTGCACTCATCTTGTAGTGTTTTCAGAAAAAAGAATTTTGCATAGAGAATATTTTTTGATATAGGCCCTTCAGTTGCACATCTCTGGAATGATGTCATTGAAGAGAAGGCTGGTATTTAAAAGTATTGGAGATGTAAATACTGCAAAAATGTTTCCAGGTTAATAGGTATGAAGAGACACTTTTTACAGAATCACAGAGTGGCCTGGGTTGAAAAGGACCTCTAAGATCATCTAGTTTCAACCCCCCTACTGTGTGCAGGGTCACCAACCACCAGACCAGGCTGCCCAGAGCCACATCCAGCCTGGCCTTGAATGCCTCCAGGGATGGGGCATCCACAACCTCCTTGGGCAACCTGTTCCAGTGCGTCACCACCCTCTGTGTGGAAAAACTAATATCTAACCTAAATCTCCTCTGTCTTAGTTTAAAACCCTTAAATTCCCCCTTTAAAATCATTTCCCCCTTTTAAAAATACAGAAATGTTTTTAAAGCTGCTCAAGGCTATGTTTGATACTAGATCAGGAAAAACCTTCACTCTCTTCTGAAAAGACCTCAAGCAGTGCCCAGTATGGTGACTGTGCTGTCCAAGGCACTGAGCAGACTTGTGACTATTACTGAAGTAGCCTTAGCATTTGGCCACGGTGTAGGGTGTAAAGCTGATACTCAAATCTTTGTAATTTTCTAGATTTTACTGTCTTTAGCAATACAGATGATTGTACCTGAGTGTTCCGTATCCTAGAATATAACTGAACATATCCTAGAACATAACTGAAAAGGCAGTGTGACAGAGTCTACCTTCGCTCTGTTCCCCAGTACACATAGTATATTCTCCATCTCTTCCCTCACTTCACCCGTAAGAGGCATCACAGCTATATCACAGGATCAATATTACAAATCTAGATTTCAAACAGGTTTCAAAATCTCTCTAATTGAAGAATAATCTAAACAGGAACATGGATTGAATTCCCTATTTGATAACATTTATGCCTAGGTAATTAAAATTGTTGATTGTACTCAGTACAGACAGATTTCACAAGTTTCTTTTGAATTCGTCTCATACTAATCTGAAATAAGCCTGAGGTGAGTGGAAGTGGGGTAAGGCAGTGGATGAGAGCTAGAATAATAAGTCAGAAGAGTGGCCGTCTACAGAAACTGTCATTTGTGAGTGAGAAGGAGGAATGAGTGTTCCATTAGAGATGGGGCTATCCACTGTTCTAATCATATCACCTGCTTGAATGATAGGGCAGAAGGTCTTTAATCTGAATTTGGGAACAATCCTGGCAGGATCGTGAAATATATGCTTTCTTTAGGGTAGGAGAGAGACCTCTGTAAGGTCTAGGATAGGGGTCATAGTCATTTTTTTGCAGGTTTCTTCTCATGGCTGGCAAATGTTCTTGTAATCATCTGGTTTATGTGCCTTTGGAAACATAGCTTTTACAGTGTCATTATTTGGACCCTAGCACAGTGCAGTGTTGTTCTTTAATGTTGTTCTGCTTCAATATGCTAACAGTGGTATGACTCATGCAATACCTTGTGAAACCAATGGTAAGTTTTGATCAGTGTAGACACTGTGAAAACAGGGTATTTGAAAACAGCTTTTGAGGAGAACTGTACCAGTCACTAGGATAGTTATTGGAAGTGATCTAAAAGAACAGCATGAACATGGCAGTTACCCCTGTCCTGTTATTAGCAAAACTCAGTTCATATTCTGATGGCCAGCCATATTAGTGCCAACAGAGACTCAGCACTCACACAGGCATAAACAGGACCAATGGCCTCAGCCCATTCCCTTCTCCAACTGATCAGAATGGTGGTCTGTAAATATAAACATATTGTATATATAAGGTACCTAGTAACTGGTCTTAGATGCTCAGTCTGCCCAGTAGTGACTCTGGATCCTCACTCTCCTCAGCTGCTGGCATCTGGGCCAGTCAGACTCTGAGGCTCACACAGCTGCTAGTACAGATCCAGATCCCCAAGCACATGCAGACATTTCTTTAGATCCGCGGACTCCGGATCCTTCCAGTAAATAGAAACACACCTAGACACACACATGTCTCTCGGGCAATCCCTTACATTCAGCAGTCTCACTGTCAGTTGGCACAGACTTCCTGGTTCCTAGAAGGTCATCAGTTCACATCCCTGGTCTCCAGGCCACTTCACCTACTCTCTTAGTCCATCTTGATAGTCCATCTTGATGCATGCAAGATAACACACCCTGACCTACAGGTGCTCTCCTTCATTTAGGATACTACATGGAGCCCTGCAACCTGTTGTGTGAATCCATTTGCTGCTGCTGAGACCTACACATGCACATGGGATAGGCTCCTTTCTTGGAGTGCCATGATAAGTCCAATACTTCTGTAGGCAGAAGTGCCTGCTAGTCTAAAAGGTGCTCTGAGCATCTGTGCCTCTGCCACTGACTCATTGGATGGGTTTCATGGTTTTCATCAGGAAACTGAGGCTGATAGTTCTCCTGAAACAGCCCTGTGAGGAACCATGTCAGAATAAGTACTTGTATTCCAGTATATGAACTTCTTCTGTGTTTCTGTGAGAAGAGATGAGCCTTTGATCACATAGAATCATGGAGTCACAGCATCATTTATAATGATGATCTTTAAGAGAAACCAATATACACACACACACACATACACATATATATATATATATATATATATATATAACCACTATATGTCTACACATGTACACTGTAGATTCAAAAGTCAGTGCAATAGAATGTGGAAAAGAAAGGGAAAACTGGCATAATGAGAAGATTATTAATAATTTTCTTGCACAGTTTTACTATGTTTGCTGATACATGCTTTTTATCAATGAAAATTTTAAACACTTTGCCTGCCAGTCCTATTTTTTTTTCTATCTGGCAGAGATACAGCTCTGTGAAAAAGAAAACAAACAAGCAAGCAAACAAAAGCAAGACTGGAACAATGTCCTGTCTATTAATTAATGGGAAATGCTATTTCTTTTGTAAAATCAAGTTCTTAAGCATTTTTTCCTGTCAGTATAGTAGGCCAGTAGCAGTCATACCTCAGTCTTACTCTTGTGCTGATGAATGTATTTATTACTTGAAAAATAGCCTAGGAATTTCTGTTCTGTTTTGCTTTTCTCTACTTAAAATACTAGTATTTACAGATTTTATAGAACCTAAAAGTGTGTTAAAACTTACATAGCTTTGCTGGTAAAAGTGACTTTTCTGACCTCCCAGAAAGTTTTGAGTAGAAGGTGATTAAATTACATGGGGAGACTATAAAGTGCTTAGTTGCTTTGTAATTTAAATACTATATAAATTTAAAATGTTGCTGTTGCAAGATCAAAAGAAATTTCTTCATTCTATTTCATTGGGCAGGATGGCAAAAAGAGACTTCAATGATGATTATTATATTACATATTAAAAAAAAATCTGTAAATAAGGCTCTTTCTTCTCTTTACAGAGACTAAAATAAACAAAAGTATACCCTTGAAATATAGACTTTTAAAATGGAAATTTGAAAAGCTTTTTGAGGAGGCTCGCCGCATATTCAGTAGAACACCTTCTGTTTGCTTTTAACATTTGCTTATATCAGAATTGTTAATCGAATGTTCATGCAGACTTACGTATATTTTGACTTTGTAGTTTATGCAAATAAACATATACTGTAAAATCTAAGGCATATAATTTTCAGAAGCTAAGTAAGAACACATGCAAATGGAAGCAGTAGATATGAATGATCTTTTAATTAATACTGTTATGTAGAATAACTTCACAAAGGACCAAATAATCTAGCAGTCATGCAGATCTCTCATAACTGCATAAGCAGATTTGTCCTAATGTTCTTGTACCCGATCACAAGGAATAAAAAGATGTAGGCTGGGATGTAAATGGTGTTGGCAGTTCACAGACATATGCAAATGCTTGTCTCCAAGCAAAACAAAAAATTCCATTCCCCCTTAAAATTACAACAGTGCAAGATGGAGAATAGTCAACATTGTAGATCTTGCAATAGACAGAGAATAATATAGCTTTCATTGTGTTAATTTACTCATTTAGTTGAACTCTGTCCTAATGGGAACTGTTTTTCTGATGAGAACTATCATCTTGGCCATTTTGTTTTCTATATTATTATTTAAACAAGTGCATTATTTCAGATGATAAACTTTTGTTATTTCAACACAGGTAATGGATGGTTCTTGGACAAGATTGTTATTAACTATAAAGAAGGAAAGGAAGGGAAAGAGGTTGTATTTCCTTGTAACAGGTATGTCATTCGTGGCAAAACAGAGTTAGTTCATTATACTCTTGGCAACCTGGGGAAAAATTCTTCAGAACAGGCATGTGCACACAGCTTAGATATATGAGCAATGCCCTAGAGTTTCTCAAAGGACTAGGAATGCAAAATTTTGCTGGTGAAGCTGAAGTTTGCTGGGTTGGTAGGGGAAGGAGAATGCAAAGAATTCGCTAATGCAAAGAAGCCCAAAACAAGCAAAAATGTGCATTAATATTTCCTTTATTTCAATTATACAGGGACCACATGAAAATAACTGAGGTTTCAGTTCTTGCCTTTATGAAAACTATTATGTGAAAAGATCTAGATGTATTGATTTTGGTCAGTGCATCTCCCTTGGTTGCTTAAAACCTTGTATGCATTCCACAAATCTTTAGAAAGCCTTTAACTTTCCTCCTATAGAAGAAGTAAAATATTTCTGTATTTGATAAATCACTATTTCTGTGTATAACTAGGTCTAGAATTTTACTGTCATGTGCAAGATTGGAAAATGCCTGACTTTCAGTTCTAACAATTACTTAAGAGCCTGTTCTAAATATTTTATTACCTGAGCCAACTGCAACCTGAACTCTTAGCTGCTGTCAGTATATTGAATCACATGACTAAAATAGAAAAAAGATATTAAATAGATGAGCATACAAAAGTAAGAATTTGTTTGTGTTACCTCTGCATTTGTATATTCAATACAATAGAAATAATGTGAAGAATTATAATTTAAATCTAGCTATTTCTGGTATACATGGTTTCCAGAACTTGTGAGTTTAGGCTACATCGCTGAAGTGATTTCCATGTTATTTTGAGAACTGTACATTATAATTGTGAAAGTCTTTAGCCGTTCAATACAGATGCCTCTTTAAGAATGCCTCCTGTTTACAAAATGATACCACAAAGCAACAGTTTCTGTTTGCAAAGTTCCTAGAAATTATTACCTAATACCCATTTTTCTCCTGTTGAGTATTGTTCTGATGATCAGGTTCTTGTCTTAGTATGTCTTTTGGTATGCATTGAATATGGCTATTGAAAGGGGAGTCAAATGAGGCAATTGTTTCCTTAGTGTCAGGGAGCTTTTGTAAGACTTCTCTTAAGGAACTTAATGAGCACATCAGAGCTGTATAAAACTGCTATGTCAAAAGGGAATCATTAAGCTCTTAGAAAAAAATAAATTAAGATTATTAAATAGAGAACTAAAGGAATGCCATTGTTTGTGCAATGTAAGTGTGCTGCCAAAGTGTAAAAATCTGCTTTCTATTTTTAGAAAATGCTAATGTTTTTTTTTTCCTTCCTAGCAGTGAATGTGGAAAGAGTTTACAAAAGTTAATTGAGCTATTTATTGCAACCATAGTTGAAATACAGTGGAGTCTAGACTTTGTGCATTACATATTATTACATATTTTTGTTACGTACTAGAAGTGAAATATATTGTGGATCTTTGGGTTTAAACAAAAGCCACATCTATATGGACCCAATAGAATAGAAAATAATAATGAGCACATACTTTTTTACTAAAAAAAAAAAAAAAAAAAGATGTTAATGGCTGCAAAGTGTTATTATACGAATGACAACTGAAAGATATGGATGAGATTTTACAGGACAGCTCCTTAAATTCATCTGTATCAAAGAAAAGGAAAGATAAAAGACAAATTCAATTCATTGCTGCATATCTATAGAATTTATATAAACTTGCTGGCCTGGTTTTATATATCATTTTAAGTACAATGAATCTATCTGACCACTGCAGGTGGTACTTGAATGTACAATTGAATGTCTGATCCTGAAAATACTTATTATATCATATAGTGTATTTCATCCAAGGTGCTATATTGCTTCATTAAACTATCATGAAATTTCCAATTTTTTGCTGAGAGCAAAGTAGGCTCTCCCAGTACAAATAATGTTAACTCTGATGAAGGCATATAAGAAAATTTGGGTTAGGAGGTAATTTAAAGGCATAATTTGATAGAAAAGGGAGCAAAGGTAATTGTCTGAATAGTTGCTGATAATCATCAATACTGATAGTTGTTATTAATCTCATTCTTTTTGTCTATGCAATGAAAGGTGGTTAGGTGAATATCGAGATGATGGGAAAACTGTGAAGGAGCTAACTGCTGAAAGTGAGTATTTTGTTACAGATCATCTTTTTTGTTATAACAATAGAGTGCTATTTACTTCCCATTTATTATTGAAGATCCTTTTTGAATATAATCATAACATATGAAGAAAAGTGATAATTAAGCTTGCTCACATGGATTTTTTTCTGCTAATTTTTTAGAAGCTGGCAATCCAGAGATGGCATTCTTTGATGGTAAGAGTTGTTTTCTACAACATTATCTTTGCTATTTGAATTCAAACTCCAAATCAGTAGTAAGTACCAAATATATGAGAAAGTGGCCTCATCATGTAAGTAAATTATCAACTGTGAGAGAAAAAGAATACAAATTGGCTAACAGTGATCTACAGCAATAAGCAACTATAAGTAATTGATGAAAATATGCTACTCATAAACCATTTTGGTTTTCTTCACATTTCTACTATTCTGTTTTGAAATCAGACAAGAACTTCTTTGAGAAAAGAGTTTAGTGTTATTTTATATATCCCAGTGCCACTGTCATGTAAAACATACATAGGGATCCTCTAGCAAGCATCAGTTTGTTGAAAAATGTCCTGTGAAGTGATTGTGCAAGCATTTTCAGGTCAATGTTCATCAAGGTACTCTTAAAGTAGCCATAAATAAATAATATTAAACTCCAAATGTTTAAGTGAAAAAAGAAGTAGTTGACTAAATCTGCTTGGATTATTAATAGATTTTAATAAAAAAAAATACCCAGCTAGTTGTCTGTCGATATACCTACAAAAACAGTCTCATCACTGTAATGTGTTAAGACCTTCCAAGTGTTCAGAACATGAGATACAATCTGCGTTTCTCTCACACCAGAAAAAAGAAACAGAGTACAAATTTTCTTATTAACATTTGCCTATAAATTCATATTCTATACAACTGCGTCTGAGTATGGGAGAAATGAGAGTAAACAAAGTAATGTTTACATTTAGCTCTGAAAACAATGGCTTGCCTTCTGTAGCATGAGTGCTGATCTCTCCATCTAGTTACAGCTTTAGAGAAAATATAATCATTTACATTCAGTCAAACAGTTTAGCCAAAACTTTTATTGTTCCATGGCAAGATAACTTTTTTACAAAAGGAGACTGATAAACTCAGGTAAATAAAGATTTTCCCACAGAGATTTGATTGTCACAAGATAATTTGGAATTGGATTCTGCATTCCACTCAACACACATTTCTGAAATGCAGCCGTAATATTTATTTCACCTTATGTTCATAAAATAGGCTATATTTTAGTATGAATTTAAGTTTTTTCCAGCAGATCTTTGCTTTTTGAAAAAGGCAGACATGAAAAGATGCTGAGAGTTTGTGCATGTTAGTAACAGTAATACACAATATTGATTATAAGGAGGTTATTCTTAATTAGTTTGGGAAATGTCTCACTGTTAAGATGTCCAGGAGGACCTAGAGGATGTGTGCTGGTTTATTAGAATGAAATCAAAGGTTCTGAGCAATGAAGATGAAAAGAAGAAGAGCATTTTTAGAGGGTCTTCTGCTAATTAGGTACGCATCAGCATAACTTGAGTTTCTTTTTAGTCATTTTTCTTTACCTTGGAGATCATTTCAGTGAGGAACTGAGATAAATGAAAGATTGTTCTATTTGTGTGTTACGTCAAAGAGATGATGAGCAAGGCGGATCTCAGTAGAGTTTACTTTTAAATTGTTTTTTTCCTAATGGTGATACCATAGGTATTGCGAGTGGAAAGAATGAGGGTTTTAGGATGATAAAAAACATGAGAGATTTGAAGAGCTGTCTTGTATTCAGTTCTGCATGTATGGTGCTAGTACTGATTTGAGAAAATTCTGGAGATGTACAGACTTGGAAGAGAAAGCAAATGCATCAGATTCAAGCATCTGGAGCACTGATGACCTCATTTTGCAGAGAATGTAGCAGTGATAAGCAGTCCCACTCACAGTGGAAGCGTAAACATTCCATATAAAATATATTTCCTTAATAGGAGGCAAGTAGCAGTGTTAATGCTCAGAAGCTAAATGTTTTATGCGTTTCTGTCATGATACAGTATGTAAGCTAACCTGCCCTCTGCAAGTGGGTTTCAAGCAAAGTTAGAAAAAATTGATTGGCACAATCCAGTGTTGTTTGGTGATTCCCAGAATAAATGATCAATATGCTAGGTCAGGTCTAAAGCAAAGGTTATAAAATCTTTATTTTGTAAGTCACTCTGAAGGTCAGAAATCTCATTCTCTTTGAAGAAGGCTAATAAGCTAATAACTACCTAGTCAAGGAAGAGAGTTTGAAAGTTGTCACTGCTGAGCAGTTCTTTTTCACCTAGGCTCCCATTATGCCAGCTTTAATGAAGCATTTATTCCAGATCCCTGTGAATGCTGTTGGTGGAGATAAGATACAGAAAGCACATATCAAAAAGCAACATTTGTACATATGTAGAATTAGCAAGACAAATCAGGCAGCGGAAAAGATTCATTCATCCTCTGGTGACTTCCTCATGTATGTTTGAGGCAAGAGAAAAAAGAAGTGATCACATTGGTAAAGAAGATAGATAGCTGCTTTCAGCTCTCAAACGAAATTACTTTGAGAGATAATGAATCTTTTCATCACTCTCTAGAAGTTTCCTGCACTGTGGGGAAATTTTGCTGCTGCCTTCTTATATTTTCTCTTTTCTGCTTCAAAATAGGTAGATTATGAAGTATAAGTCAAAATAAATCATTATGAGACTAGTAAAAAAATTCTTTCAAAGCAGAACTACAAACATGTTATATCTCAATGTTGTCTATCCTGCAAACAATTAAAATGTGCTGAGTTCCTGTAGTGTGGTTTGCACAGTGCTCTGTGATATTGTGATCTAAAATGCAACAAACAATTCAGCATCATTGAACACAGTGCAGTTAACAAATACTTCTAGGTTAGATTTTTTTATGTTGGGAAATGTTGTTGGTATTAAGGCACTCAGAAAACTCATAAGAAAACAGAAAATAATTCCCACGAGTTCCTTTGTTTTGAAGTTATTCCCTACCTTTCAGGTTGATGCTAATGGAGTAAGAATAAACAGAGAATTCCTAAATTACAGGCAGATTTGTCCTGCTTCACTTGAGTACAGAAGAACTTAGGGCAGTAACATGCCCTAAGAACAATGGTAGTAATCCTCCAACAATACATAAATTTTCAATATTTCAAAAGTAGAAATAACCTTATTTGTCCAATTTTCTGAATTGTGTAATAAATGTTGTGTGTATATTTTATCTTGCCCAGTTTGTGTGCAGAAGTCACTACAGGTTTGGTTTTCACAATTTTATTGAAAGAATTTTACGGGATGCAAACTAGTGGTTAAAAGAATTTATGGGAAGATATTATTATGATTGATTCCATTTAACTTTTTAAAGTCAACAAATGCTTCTGATGTATCTTTGGATACATCTGTATAATATAAATTGAGATCTTTGCCCATATTATTTCAATAAAGAAAAATTTGGATTTTCTTTCATTGAAGTTTCTTTCCAATCCACTATTCATTTTACTAATTTCATATTGGTATCTCAACAAAAAAGGGCTATGGATTTGCACATAAGCTGAAAGTAAAATAATACAATGAAGAACTAATCAATTTGAGAGGAAGCTAATGCTGTTCAGTGGTATCAGGGGAAAGTTATCTTTTTTGTGTGACATGCTCAGATATCTTATTTTCAGAAGTTACTGAAGAGTTTGGTATTTCCTGGAAAGAGATATAGAAATCATTGAACCCAGTTAATGTGTTTGTAATCAGCCTCCTGTCTGGTGTACCCATTCTTATCAGTCTCCATCTAAGAGAATATAATATATAGAATACTTTTTTCTTACTCTGGTCTGAGCAGGTTAAATGAATTTTCTGAACAGAGAAAATGTAGTCAGTCTGGGTTAGCTCTGTTACCAAGCTGTAGAAGCACTCAAAGCAAATGTAGGAGTACAAGCAGTCACAGATGCTAAGAGGCTTTAAATCTGTTAACTACTGATTTATCTCCTGGAAGACTTCCAGCTGATATCTTAGCCTTACTTCTGAAATAATAATTAAGAACACAATCATGGATATTATTTACAATAAATCACCTTGCCTGAAATACCTTCTCTGTGCATGCTGCCTCTTAGAGCAGGAAGAGGTACGTGTCTTTGTTTTCTCTTCACTTAGGGCTTGCTTTCTCCTAAAGCAGAAGAGAAAAGAAAGGAGAAGGTTCTCTTGAAAAACACATTAATGCAAAATTATCTTAATTTCCCTTCTGCCATGTTCCAGGGAAATCCTTCAAAATGAGACATGAGTGGATGTGATGTTCAGGGCTATGTTGGGAGTCTTTGTAAAAATTGGATCTGTTCATAAACAGAGAGTGCTCAGGAACAGCAGAAGCTCAAACGGTGCTTGACTTCACCAAGTGTGACACCCTGAAGGGTACCACATGCCAACCTGGCACAAAGAGATAAAATTCAAAGCTGGCATATATATCAAACAACAAACGTTCCTCATTAGGCAAAGTCTGTGTCTTCTATAATACTATATCTGACTCATTCTTGGAATTGACCTCAAAAAAAAGAGTTCAGATAGAAGGACCCTTTCAGCTACTGTTTTACTCACCAGACTGACTGTGAGATGTGTATTTGCCTGCTGTTTTGTAGCTGAGCTCAGGAGGGGGAGGAAGCAGTCACACGAAATGAGAAAAAAGCTTCTATAGCGAGTTGGAAAGCAGCCTTAGCTAAAGAAGACAAAATAAAAATCAAGGAAAAAATCCTAAGTCAAAAGAGCCAGATAAAGTTTTTATTCAGTCGTCACCTCCAGACAGGTGCAGAAAAACAAAAGGTATGAAGAAAACCAAACACATAATGCTTTAAGAGAGAGAATCACATACATACAATTTATTTCAGACCTATTCTATGAGTTATTTTGTCAGCACATTGCAATGTAGGTTTACGCATAGTCATGAAGTACTTCTCTCTTATCTCATTGAGAAATTATCTTATCACAGTATTAGCCACAATCTAAACATGGAGTTTTGCTTTCCTTCCTCTGTTAAGTTCCTTTTACCATGCAGAATCAATCAACCAGGTAAACAGTAGTTTTCTATAGCTTCTGAGCTGCATTCTAGACTTTCAAACATTGCTATTAATGTAATCTATCAAAAAGAACGTCTGAAAGCCTCATCCATGAATTGATGTCAGTGAAAACACTTCAGAATTCCCCAGATTTTGAGTTCAGCCCTAATGAATGATCTGATCTGACCTGATATGAGAATACTGAACATGATCAAGTAGGTTATGAAAGTGGTTTAATTTTCACTATTTGAGTGGCTGTGTTTAGCCAGCAGTTCTTGCAAATAAATCACATAAAATTTCATATGAAAACTAAGTACCCAAACTTGATAAATGAATTACTGCAATTTAAACAATGAATTTGTAATAAGGAATGCAAAAACCTACCCAAAGATTTATTTCCTTTCTTTCTTTGGATTTCTTTCTGCTTGCATATCCATTTTTACTGTTGGCTTTTTTTGTAAAGTCTTATTTAACTTACAATTATCTTCAAGAGAAGGCGTGCCTGTCTGTTTTTATAATGGCTATCTTTAAATTCTTTGTTGTAATAATAACAAAGGCTTTCATTTCTCTCTTCCACTGATACTAAAAATTTGCCGTTTCTATGTTGTTTAGCACAACAGTGGAGAGTGCAGGTGAAAACAGATGGAGATTCCCCAGAGCCACAAAACTGCAAAAGGACCCTTGTGATTTATGGCTCGAAGGGCAAAAGCAATGAGCTACTGCTTTCACCACAAGACCCAGGACATGTATGTTTTCTACCCAGAGCAACTGATGAATTCATTGTAAGTCGTAATATATTTATGCAGAACAACTTTCTACAGTACTATTACTACAGTACTATATTTATAATTACATTCCTCGCCAGGAATATATCCAAATATATATATCCAAAGATCTATATTTATGGAATGCTAGCTTGGTTGCTATGTGTAACATATTTATTGCTAAAGATGGAATTATGTGACTTTACATATTTGGTCATCTTATGCTTCTGGACCTGTTTGACAACAGGCAGGTGCAGTATTCTCTTTGAATTTTCAGTATTTATCAGAGAGATAAATGGTCCTTTCATGTAATTTATAGCATTCACCAGTTCATCTTGTGTGTTGCTTTGTTTTTAATTCTCTAAAGAATCCTGAGTTCCAGCTTATACAAAACCAATATGCAATTATTTGAGAAAGAAGGATTATATGTTATTCCCAGAGGACATAAGTAGCTTTTTCTTTCCTTCATTTCAGTCTTCATAAAACAGTCTCCAATCTCCTCCCAAATGCCTTTGTCTTTCAAGCCACCAGGCAGTGAGTTTTCCTGAATAATCATAGGGTACCAAAGAGCAATGAACCCTAAGGCAACAGTATATATATATGTTCACTGTTAAAATCAACCTCAGCACAGTCCTGACTACCTGTATACCTCACATACATCCTGCTGCTTTGAGAGCATTCATCTGAGGCATCTTTTTAATGTTCAGATTATGTCCTGGCTTGCTAGGCTATATCATTGCAAATTCTGTTTGTTGGCTTGAAGTACAGCTTCTAGTTAGCCAGATGAGAGAACTAGCTTGCAATTCATGGCAGTTTTATAAAGCTCAGAAATGCTTTTCAATGGCTGCAATAAACATTCTGAAAACAATGACAAAGCTATGTTTAGAAAATGTTGTGAAGTCTTCCTCAGAATGAGCAGATTCAAGCTGATTTTTTTGAATTTAAATAACAAGCTAAAGCAATTTAGAAATTTTGCAGAGAGTAAATGAAAAGATAAATAGCACTTGTTGAAAACAAGAAAGCTATTGCTTATCAGAAAGCAAGAAATTCACCAAACAACAAAAGAAGCTTCACAAGCTATTGGTGCAGATTGAAGGTCAATAGAAGCATTCTGTCTATGGAGGTACCCCACCAGCTGGCTGAGTTTTGGAAAGCATCACTGCATAAAGCAGATCTCTGCTGCATTCAACTTGTCAGTAATTTCCCAAAAGGATTGTAGTGCTTGTTAAGATTGCCTAATTTCATTGGCTGAGTGCCGTGCCAGGAGAAACCAGTATTGTTATGTGACTGTTCTGATTGTCCCTGCTACTCTTCTATTTTTGGTACCATAACACCATATCTACCATGCTGGAATTCCAATCTAATTTCTTTCTAAATGATTCATCATACTTTGGATTGGCTTTGGGTTTGTGTCCGTGCATTTCCCTTAGCTATTTATGCCCTGATTTTGTTGCTTTGTATGAAAGTGTTTGGGCGTCGTTCATTGGACGTGAAAATTTCTTCTTTTCACGTTGCTTATAGTGTTTTCCAGTTTTTGTGGCATTCTAAGGAAGTCAAAGTAGCAGGTCTGATGTATCCAGGTATTCAGATGTCTTCATAAATATTTTCTCCATGTTTTTCAGCTAATAAATCCAGTTTCTTTTTCCTCTCTTTTCCTTTGTTCTTACTAAGGCTTTCAGAAACTTTGCTTGTGTTCTCCCACTGTAACAGCAGGCAGGAGGCATGAGCATAATATCTCCAAGAGGACAAGCTGTTTTTCCAACAAGCAGCAGTAAAAGGACTTTTCAACCTCCCCAGGAACCTGGTCTTAGAGAAGTGTCCTCAGTGCAGTAAGAACAACAACAGTTTATGAGCTATAAGCATCTTATGCTTGTTTTGAAACAATAGACATAATTTTGATCTCAGAGATTCATTTACTGTGCACAGAGGACAGGAAGGCATGTAAATTCCTGATTTTCCAGGTGCTCTCATACAAATATATGCACAGATGTGTATAGTATTCAGAATGATTATTTGATCCAAAATTTTTCATCCCAACTCCTGTGAGTGTACAGGTGTAGTTTAATTGCATGTAGCAGGAGCAAAGAATAATTTGTTAAAAGAGATAAAATAGCAGCATGGTAGTAAGTGCAGATGTTGAGTTTTGGTGACTTCAGGTAGCAGCAGTAGCATGGGTGATCTGCTTAAATAAGAATAAATTTAAATAGAACAAAGTAGTTATAATAAATTAATTGAGAAAATATGTGAGTTTGTCTATGTTATTGAATTGTTTGGATGTTCTGGCACTGAAGACACATAGCGTGGCAAGGCACCTTGCCAGCTGCAATGAACAAATGTATCAAAAAATAATTGGCAAAATGTAAGTAAATTGACAGTACAAACCCAGATTTTTACTTTTTTTTGGTATTTCAGTGTTGACAGAAATCAGTTATTGATCTCTAATGGAATGAAAAAATCTGTGAAGTATGTATATATATATTTCCCCCAGTACTCAGCATGGTTCTTGGTTGCTTACAGAGCAAGCTCGTCAGAGCATGCCTTTGGAGAGTGCTGCTGTACTCTGCACCTTCCGTTATGCAGGTAATCGTAAAATGCAAAGTTACACTGACTGACAGATCACGGGATTTGGATCCTTAAAACTATTCAGTAATTCTCCAAAGCACTTGCACATGTGGTATGGGATGAGTGACAGTGCAGTAAGCAGAAAGCTCTGCAAGGAGGACTGTTCATAAACACACAATGAATGCGGAAAGTGTTTTCGTTTAATGAGTATGAGGATGACAGAAAAATTTAGATTACATAATGCAATGTGTTGTGTTTTCTCCACAGTGTGAGATGATGCTCTAGACAACCAGTAGCAGGACTTCTGGAGTTTCTGACAGAAAACTGTTCAGCTGAATTTAGGGTGCATTGACAACATACTTTATAACTAGAATCATTTTTGCACAGATTTTTCTTTTTCTTCTCTTTTTTTCTTTTTTTTTTTTTAATTGTTATTATTATTGGTTTTTTTTTTTTTTTTTTTTTTTTTTTTTATAGAGAAGCAATAAAGAATTTAATTTAAGTGTGCACCCAAACAATAAATTATATGTAACCTTAATTACTGTAGGAATTATGACTTTGGACAAGCCTTGTTTGATTCAAAAAGGAAAAGTTTTAAAATATTGTGAAATTTTATAATCATTTTCATCAGTTAACTTTCTCTGAGAGCTTTAAATCCCCAGTGGCTTTCCAAAGGCATCGTCATGATTGTAAGAACTATTCTCCTTCAAAAGTGCAATGGAAAAACACTGCTATTTAGTATATGACAAATCACATTCAACTCAGCTCAGATTTCAAGTAGGGAGTACTGCGTAAAACTGTCCAGAAGGAATAAATGTGGATAAATTAATTAGGAAATTTTAATCATGAATAAAAATGAGGTTAATGTTCTCTTGCAAACATTTGGCCAACTCACAAAGAGGAAATTCATTGAGATATACTTTGTGATGGATTCTCTTTCTGTCTCTGCATTGAAGGTCATTTTGCATCAAGTAATAGGCATTGATGGAAGGAAAAGCCAATTATGGGATCAAAGATAGTATATCATATTCCAAAGGGAAACTGACCGTATTAAATTGCTCAGAAAAGGACCATGATTATTATGATATAATAATAATGATCTGAAAATGATGGAGCAAAACAGAAAGGATAGTGTAGCCAGAGCCACGGAAAAAAAATCCCTAACAAATAAATGTGAAAAGAGGAGGAATACCTAATAAGTTCAATTGAAAATATTTGATGCTTTTTGTCTCAACAGATGATCATGGACATTATGACTGCTAGTGCTTTCTGCTTCAAACACATGGAGTGCTGTGTGGCATTTAGAGTAGCTGTATGATAGTCATGAAATCCATCTGCAAGAAAGAAAATCTGCAGACAATCATTTTACAAATCAGTCTGATTCTGAAAGACCAGAAGCAATAATTTTGTTGCCTGTGAAGAGACTACAGTTTAGATGGGTGAAGAAGCTGTGCACTGTCATCTTGATAATCCTAGATAGTACCCATTAGGTTTAATAAGAGATGAATGCATATTTTAAGAAGAATTAGACCACTTACCATTCCATAGCTAATGATATCATCTGCAGCATGCATAGCATGATTGAAAAACTCTCGATAAAGTATTCAGTCCACATATTTCCCTGTTTCTGGAGCAATGATGGAGATCAAGTCAGGATGTAAAGATGTGGTAAATCCACTATGCATAATTCTTCACATATCAGCAGTACATATCAGCAATGTCCTTAAATTCTTAAATATGCATGACAGCATACAGGCAAACAGGGCAAGCCAGGCTCTGAGAGAGGACAAATCTGGTGCCCTTTTTGATGCAAAATTACTGCTGTGGTGGCTATTGTACATGCTGTGGAGTTTGAGAGCTGCGAGATTCCCTGCAGCACTGGGGATGCTGGACCACCACAGAGTTGTGCTGCTGGTCCTTACAGAACAGTGCCTCAAATCTTCACTTTCTGGGGTGACATAGTAAAATCTTATGGTGCTTGCCTTAATAAATTGAGATTGGAAGGGACCTTTTAAGTTTTCAAGTTTTCAACATTTCTTAAGTTCTACTTCATAAACAGTTCAAGCTTCTGTAAAATGATTTTGGCAGGTTGCTATTTCTTTTTAATTAGGTGTTCCTCTACATACACTGCCGTTTTACTGTTTTTTCTATTCATAACATTTATTAATGAGGGTGGCCAATGCTCTCCGAAAAAGACAAAACCATGCCTTTTAACTGTTCTTCCCTAATAAGAATAATGTAACTAATATTTCACTGCTTGTCTGTCTCCAGTGAGCAAAGTCAGATGAACTAGCTTTAAGAAAGGTGGGTCAGCAGTGATGAACTGTCAGGAGCAGAGCTATGCTGAGTAGCAGAATTAATTAAGCTGTTAAGAGCTCCATGCTGTGTATTAGGGATCAGTGGGCTTGTGGTTCCATAGCATGGTTGCATAAGGCTAACTCTAATTCTCCTGTGATGCGTAAATTCTACCGAATGCATAAAGAACTTACCTCCTGGTAACAGTCACCAAAGCTTAGATTGTAACTGGTCTGGGAGAATAAAATGCAGTAGAAAGGAAGAAAAAGGCTACAATTTTAGTTCTGATCCCTTTAAAATAAATAAATAAATGTCTTTTTTAGAATAGTTCTGTCTTTTGTTTTACTTGAAATTCATTTCCTATCATGTCTTTCTTGCAGTTGCCTGGTGAAAGGCTGCAGCACTCTACTTCCTGGGGCTAGAAAGTCTTACTGTACAGCTGCTAATGTCACGCAAATCATTAGATCATTCAATGCACTTTGCAAATCCCAATCCCCATAGTGCTATTTTGGATGGTTTAAACAGATCTCACAGAAGCCCAGAGTCTGCAACCAGATATTGGTTTTCCCACAGGTTGTATAGGAGCAATGGCTGTGATGTTCTACAGGTTTATTTCTCCATGATTTAAGTTTATGCAGAAATATCCCTCTTTTCCTCAGAAGTGGTTATAAAATAATTTCTTGTTTTAAATGCAATCATTTTGTAAGTGAGGATTCAGTTAAAATGATCTCAGCTTGTGGTAATTATTATTAATTTTAATATCTAATATGACTTCTGATATTAGAAACTTTAATTGTAAGTTAACACTCTCCTTATCCAGTAGGGTCATATCCTAACATGTTACATTTGCTTTATAAGCTTGAATGATATTAATTTTAATCTCAACTCACCATAGTGTTTAAGTATTATACATTACTGAAATGGAAATAGAATAAAATAAAGGAGGCAGTCTCATCCACGGAGAAGAGAAGGAGGGATTCCCTTATTGCTCTCATCCTACCCTCTAACACAGTTTCTCCATGGGTTAATATTAAGTTAAAGGATTCCACACTGCTGAGAAAATTGCTGTGAGTGAAGCGGTCCTGACAACATGCTCTTCCTCTTGATGTTTTTTGCAGGTTGAGACTGGAGATGTGGGAGATGTGTATAAGATTCGGGTCAGCTGTGATGACGTGCCAGGCTTTGAGGGTTGGCACTTGAAGTCTTTCCACTTAGAAGAGCTACATACAAAACAAGAGTTGAACTTTGACTGCAACTGCTGGCTGTCTCTTAGCAGAGAAGACAAGGAGCTGGTGAAAGAATTCCCTGTAGTCAGAGAGGACCAGAAAACTTTACCAGGTGAAAACACTGAGCAGATATGAACACTGCTAACCTCTTGAAAATAAATAAATGTCACATATAGAATATAACATATGTTGAGCATTTGATACCTTCAGTGGGTCAATCCTAATAGTCTTCATACATACCCTGCAAAAATGTTGACCATTTAAGAAATTTAATTTTCCAGTTAAGTGGTAGATTGGACTTCACAGTTGCTAAACCTTCTGCACGATTCTGTGTACAAAACTGAAGAAAATAATTATACTTTTAAAAGTTAAAGCACATGTTCACAGCTATGGAAATGATCCATTGTAGATTTGCTGTTGGATTACGTGGTTTATAATTTCAGTTACTAATGGAAACAATTGTATTGTACAAAAAAGTTTTGTATTGTTTTTCCCTAAGGCGTTTTTTCTGACATGCTGAGAGTTTCAGAGAATATTCGTAAGTGCTCTTGGAGTGTGAAGGCCTGCAGAAGCACTGCATTTGTTCAGAAAAGTTGGAAGTTACACGAGATGAAAGTAATATGAAACATGACTGCTTTTCAAAACTGAAGTTCCAGAAATTCTGGTTCTTGAATATCTCAAACCTTTTCACAACCTTAAAAGAAACCATGGCATTAAGTTAGTTGAATGTTAGTTCGGGAGGACAGTATGTTAAAAATGACATTTGAAAATTTTTGGTTATTCTCTTTGTTGAAGTATGAATATATCTGCAACTCAGTGATATTTCTCAGAAGAAAATCCATTCTAGCTGTATCAATTGAAAGAAGAAAATGTGTTTATACAGGAGCACTACAGAGGCAAAACGTTTTGCTGTTGCTGTCATGCACCTTGCATTAATATGTGAATTTGATACATTTTTATGCTTATATCTCATACCATGCATCAAGAGGTTATGCTACATCAGTTTCTTCTGCCTAATTTGAATAAACTTTACATAGCAGTTTATTCTTTGACCTGTGATGATTATTAACTACTGCAAAGATTATGTAGTTTTTAACGGTAAAAAAAACCTCAGATGACTTATTTTTCAGGACTTGAGTGGTAAAATAGATTTAGATAGAATTTGTCTGGATTTTAGTAAGTCTGAGTTGCCTGAATCCAATTTCACTGGATTTGTAAGGAAGTAATGGAAAGACTTCATTACACTTTGCTTGAAGAGATCACATTCACAAAGAGTAACCCATTTTAATCACTGTATAGCAGATTTTTTGGCAGTTCCAGAAGTGAAAACAGTAGTCTTACAAAACAATATGTACTGATTTTTTCTTTAAGAACACTTTTTTAAATGAAGTGTTTCATTTGTACTTTTTTTTCTTTTCTTTGTACAGTCCATAAATATGTTGTCTCTGTACATACTGGTGACCGCTGGGGAGCAGAAACCTTTGCAAACGTTTATATCACCCTTTATGGCAAAAGAGGTGACACAGGTGTAAGGAATCTTCATACACCTTTAACAACAGAAAGGAAATTCCAAAGGAATAAGGTAATGGCACAAATGCTGTCTTACATGTGCAGGACCTACAACTGACTACACTGCATCCCTTAATGCCTGCTCAAGTTAGCCTCCTTCCTGTTTATAATCTCCCTTTAAATATGGAAGACTGCAGTGAGGTCTTCCTGGAGCCTTCTCTTCTCCAGGCTGAACAAGCCCAGTTCCTTCAGCCTTTCTTCATAGAAGAGGTGCTTCAAGCCTTTGATCATCTGCTACATCAATTCAATGTCTTTCTTGTGCTGGGGACCGCAGAGCTGGTTTCAGTGTGAGGCCTCACAGGGGCTGACCAGAAGGAGATAATCACCGTGCTCTCCCTGCTGCCAACCCCCCCTCCCTTTTTGGATCAGCTCAGGATGTAGTTGGCCTTCTGGTCTGTAACCGAACACTGCAGGTTCATCTTGAGCTTTTCATCTGACAAGACTTCAAAATTCCTCTTTGCAGGGCTATTTTCAATGAGTTCTTCTCCCAGTCTGTACACATATCTGGGATTGCCCTGACCTGGATGCAACACCTTGGACTTGTTGAACCTCAATATGTTCACGTGGACACACTTCTTAAGCTTGTCCTAGTCCCTCCTGATAGCATCCTTTTCTTATTGTATCAACTGCACCACTCCGCCTGGTGTCATCCGCAAATGCTGTCACTCCTTTGTAAAAGGCCATCAGACGGAAATAGAATTTATTGTCCAACTATTTACAGCAGACTGATGTCAGTGTTATTTCTTTTCTGGACAAGCACATTTCCAGTGCTGTATGAGCAAACACAAAGCAGATTCCTGAGGACAAACTGTGATCACACTATGTAGTTCTTCTATTCCAAATTTAAGACAGCATGAGTAGCATAGAATTAAAAATTATGGATAGAAAAATAGTTAAGGAAATTGCTGTGAGACTTACAAGTTCAGTGCTTTCTGTAACCTCAACCCCAAGTTAAACACTAAATTAAGTTTACTCAATGACTTTGGACAAGAGAAAAGAAGGGAACGCACAAAACAATATTGCTTCTAGAGAGTCTTAGATTTCTGTGGAATGATTTGATAGGGTGAGGAAAAACTGGATTCAGTATAAACTGAGAGAATTTCTAAAAATAATTTTTTGCAACATATCAGGGCTATGGCTATGTACTGAAATAGCACTCTACAAAAGTTATTTTACTTCACCTTCATTCTCTGATTTATTTCCTAAAATGTATTAATTAAAAAATTTAATGATTTCCACTTACAATCTGGTTGTCAAATCCTGACTATTGTTAAAAAGAAAATTGGTATTTTTGTCATGCAAAGGTAATTTTAATGTTAGTAACAGAAAAGCTACTTCTCCAATATTTCTATTTTAAACGTAGCACAAGCAACATAGAGGACTTTTGAAAGTACTACATTTTATTAGAGATCAATTTGCAGTTATCTTCTTTTTAATTGTCCTTACATCTGGTTTAGTAAGTTCCTGCTATTAAGTCAATGTTTTATTGGGATAATGGTATTAATTATAATTCTAGATGTTGTTTAAACTCCTGTTATTCATAACCTTGCTGACCATTAGAAGCTGCAATCAAGTCCACCTGACCCTAGGCTGGACTGTGTACAGAAAACCTGTTTTGTTTCACATTTATCTTTTTTTTTTTTCATCCCCTGATGCTCTTTTTCTTACTCTTACTCCATTCTGCTTCAGTTCCTGTTTATGGTCTTTCACTCAACTCTCTCCATGTTGTCTTGCTTAATCATTCAGTTTTCTGTTGCAGAAATTTTCATTTTGTAAGAAAAACAAAAAGACAACAAAATGTTTAGTTTACATTTTCTTTTGGCCTGTTAACATAAGTAAACTCTAAATGATCCTTAAAGTCTAAATTTATGTTATACTTTTGATACTGGAAGTGCCCTGAAAATAATTTGATTATAACCAAAATTGTCATAACTTTTAACCTGCCAGAATGCTGATGTATATGTATTTTAAATGTAAAATGATTCATAAAATACGTATTTTCCAAAGATCGAATGAAGTTACAATATATCGTTAATCATGAATGTGGGATTTAAGGTTAGATATAATTAATGTGTGCTTAGATTCAGAGGGGAGATGTTATGTTAAATGTTACCAAAATAACCCCCCCATATAAAAAAGACAAGTATATAACCTCTGCTGAATCCAGGTTGTTTTCCCCTGAGTTCAAGCACATTGAGGTCCAAGATGTCGTATTATTTCAATTTTCTTTGCAGGTGGATTCCTTTTTGGTGGAAGCTGTTTCTCTGAGTCATTTGCAAAAAGTGATCATAGGACATGATGGGCAAGGATATGGGGCTGGAATGTACCTCAAGATGATAACAGTCAGGGAATCACAAGACTCAGACAATGAGTGGGTCTTTCCGTGCTGGAACTGGCTTGATACTCATCTGGGATTATGTGAGACTGTTTGTGAGATATTTACAGTTGGTAAGCTCTTCTGTAATCTGGCCTGGCTCTCTGCATATTTTGAATTTGGTTGCAGGTCTCTAAAGTGATTTTTAAATTGAAAATGTGAATTTTCAGTTTGATTTGGTTATTATAACAATACAACATCTGGTGATGTCAAAGTTAATAAAATTCCATCCTGTAAATACGTTGTGTATAAAACTCTCACCATCTAAATTAAAATTTATCACATTACAGCAAAAGATTTAAAGCAGGTAAAGAGTTTGAAAAGTATGCCTTGTGGGGATAAATAGCTTAAGTCTTATGCACTACTTTTCAAGTTGGTAAGGATCTAATTTGAAATCCAGAGAAAAGTTACTTTAGTCAATCTGTATATTAACTCACCTGTGGTATTATTCCACTGTGAAGAGAAATACAGTTCTGCTGTGCTTTGTTTATATGTACTCATTCCAAGCCTACTACACCACAAGTTGTTCAGATCCAAATGGAAATGAAAGGTAGTGACAATTAATGGAGAAAAAGAGAAGGAGAAGGTCATATTGTTTTACTGAGGATCTGGCAAATATTTTTGCATGTTTACTATATGTCAGTCTCACACTATTATACCACATAATATAGCTAAATATGAGATAGTGTCATGTGAAGTTCATTGTTATTAATTTTATATTAGATGTCTACAGGCTACAGGTGTGTTTGGGGCTTCTGAATGATAAAGTGGTTTTAGTAACATTGATTTTTTTTTTTTTTTTTTTTTTTTTTTTAAGAACAGTTGATTAGACCTCTAAAAGGTGACTGGATACTCTCTTAGTAATTTCTTCCAAACATGACAAGAAAAAGAACATTCTATTAAGAAAATACCTGTGAAACTAAAATTTAAACACAGAAGGAACATTTAGCTGTTAAATTATTGGCAAAAAAAATAATAAAAAGTATTGATGTGTTATTCTTAGTGAACTGTTGCCATAGATACAACGTAACCTGCAAATAGAGCTTGCTTTGTGTATTGTAAAGGCTGTGGTCTTGTTATACTATGCCAGTCTGTCATACTGCCGTCTTTCCTCTTTCTCTTTGATCATTTTTAAAGGTAGAAGATTGATTTCTCATCCTAAACTGCCTAAAGTCATCATGCAGTCATCTGGTCTCTGGATAATGGACATCACTGGATCTGACTGGAGCAGTGAAGAGGATCCATTACACCTCTCTTTAATCTTCTTTGGCAACCAGAATCATAAGAAGTTGCCACTTCAAGTTACAGGAAAAGAAATTCAAATCAAAGTACTTCAATCTTTATCTACTGGAAAAAAAAATAAAAATCTAAGAATCATGTACCTGATAACCCTCTTAATTCTGAGATGATAAATTGTTTCTTTAAACTACTAAATTGATTTTTAAGTTCTCTGTGTAGTTTGACATGGATTATAATATTCTTCCTTTGTAGTCAGTAAGGCTATCACTTAAGCAGCAGCTTTTGAATGAGCAGGAGTGAACCTTCTCTGCTGGTTTCATTCTGAGAATGTTTAAATAAGCAAATTGGTCCCTAGGTGCATATCACAAGATATACCAGACCGCAGGTAGTGATTTACAGTTCTTGTTGATTTCAATTGATTTCACAAAAGTAAGTAATTTGTAAACATACAATTTGTGGGATGTTATAGAGATTTGTGGGCAGATGATGGAGAAGGAAGAAACATAAATGAGATAAAACTTACAGAGCTAATTTTCTATTTAATTTAATTTGTTCATCTCTGCTACCATGTTTTTTTTCCAGGGTAATTACATTTTCTTCCAGTGTTTCTCTCTTTTATTTCTGCTTGTCTTTATCACTTTCTTTTCTCTCTTGATTAGCTCCTTTTGCTCCCTAAGTTTACTCCTTTATTCTTTGTTTTTAGTTTCTTGAGTTACTTATCAATTGAAATATTAAGAGGCTTTTAATCGGATGAATGAATGAAATTGAGTTTATTGAAAGGTGCCCTGCTTCCACTCCAATGGTTCTTCCCTCTTACAACTACAATTCCTTGCTCAGTATCAGTGCTGTGGTACTTCTATGCTTTTCCAATTTTGCTCTCTCTGAATGACCAATACAGCAGAATTTGGAACTGACCAACTGAAGCAAATGCTTCAGACCCCTCATCTGTCTTAAGAAATCCCTAATCATGAAGCTCAGAAAACCAGGAGAATATTCAAGGGAATCATGACAATTACTTGTTCATTTCTTGTAATTCTTGTTCCATCTTACTGTTGGCCTTTGGGGTTTTGAGGAAATTATTTGTGAGGAAATTATTGATCCCTATGAGAAAAGTGGTTTCATTATCCCCAGCTAGTTCATTAGCTTAAATTTGACCTTGTTCAGTTCCTCCTTCATTTGTAAAAACAGCTATATGTCAGGACTAAGTGAACAAGGAGAAGTGGACAGACAAGTCCGTGGAAGTTTCTAAGCCAGCTTTACAACATGAAAGTGTGTCTGTGAAGCTATGTCCTAGAAAAGCTTTCTTAAGGATTGGTTGATGGAACAGCAGAAGGAGGTAGCAGGAGCAAATCAGGAAAATAGGGATGAAAAGAGTCCTGGCACAAAGCCCAAAGAATGAAAATATGTTTCTTTTGATTCTGAGTTTCATCAGAAAGCAGCCTTGGAGAGTTGTGAGTAAAGAAAATGTTCTTGATTCTTATTCCTGCTAGTCATGTAAAGAACAGTTAATGATTAACACTAAAGAGATAATTAGCTTTTTTGCTTTTTTGCTTTTTTTTTTTTTAAATTCTTTAATGGAAGAGAAACTAAACACACTAAGTTAGGTTATAAACAAGATAAAAAATGAATAGTCCTTAGGAAATTTTCCTGTGCTAAGTATGAAGAAATAGTATGAAACTGGAACTATTTGCAATGAGAGCACAGGAAATAATATGATTAGAAAAGAGAAAAATAATAATTGTTATAAACCTGCTCCACTTCTTCATCTGTTAAAGTTTGTTCAGTTGTTGCATAGATCTGTCAACTGTGTATGCACTGGCACAATTAGAAAGAGATCCATTCATCTTCTCTTTTTCTTGCATAGGATGAACTGTCAGATATTGGCTCGCTATACAAAGTTCAGGTAACCGGCCCACACAGCAAGCTAAAACAGCCGTGGCACTTAGATTTACTGCATATGAAGCACACGGGCACAAAGGAAGAGATGTATTTAGCATTTGACTGCTTGTTCAACCCTAATGAAGACAAATGTGTGGAACTGCCAGCTCTCTATGCAGATCAGGAGCCTTTGCCCGGTAAGCTAAGTCTGTTTTTGTTACTGGGGTCAGGATTGGTGTCACTGGAATACCAATATCTCTCCTGGGCTGAATATTAAGAAATACAATGTTTTGTGCATGCATTTATCACAAAAGAAAGCTGAAGAAAGAGAAATCTCTGGTATTAAGATTATGACAGATGTTGTAACTGCTGATACCAAATGTAGAATGCAACTTCTTTTATGTGAGGCAGTTTCCCAGTTTTAGCTCTTGATTATTTGCTATATCTTCAAATTAATGCCATGTCAGCTGAAGACATGTACAAAATATTATCTAGTGCAATATCACCTGAATCTTCCTATTCATAAAGAGATGTGTGTGACCTAGAAAAGTAGTCAGTGTTTTAAGGAAGAAAGAATTGCAAAGACCCCCTACAAAACAGAGATATAATTTAAAAAACGTGTTACATCAGCAAAGGGATAGACAAGAATTTCAATTGCTGTGGAGTTTTATTGATATTGATGAGAAATTTATAGTAGAGCAAGTATTATTCCAGCAAAACAGATTAAGTTGCACTTTTTTCTGCTTCTAGTAACACATGTGAATTATGTATATGACGATGACAGAAATATAATAAAGTGATAACCCCCAGTCCCCCAGGAATATGGCAAACAACAATGCATGCTGATGACTTGATCACAAGCTATTTAAGAACAGACTTCCCATTTATCCAGCTCATTAGAATAAAGAAGATTGATGGGGATAGTAAAGATCATGTATTGGAGCTTTTGGTGACAGTTAAGAGGTTTATTGCCAGAGGCTATAGTACAAAGAGCATTCTGCTTCAGCAGAAACTAGTAGGAAAAGATGGAAGCTGCCCAGGAAAAGAAATAAAATATTCCATGTGAACTTTTGCACACTGTTCTCTAGAGGGATTTTCCTGACTATTTTATTCCATTTAAAATTGAAATCTGAACAAATTAAACAATGAAGACCTTTTAAATATCTGGTTTTATGTGGGTTTTCATAGCTTTAAGAAATTAGTAGCCTTGTAATCATTTACTGAAAAAATCTTATCATTTTAGGTTTTTGATCCATCAGGTTCAAAATAACATCAGATGTTGCGTGTAATATATGTAGGATATATAATGCTAAGTATAATAACCCTAGAGCTTGTTAAAATCTCTGTTACCTCTTTATTGGTAATTACCTTTACTGGTATTTATTTTCAGAATTTGTGATTGCTAAATGTTAAATTAAGTATTAAAATTCAATTCTCGAATATGTCCTACAAAGTCTTAGTTATGCTAAGAAACAGAGATGGTGTCCAAGAGCATTATCCTGATTAGTAGAGTAATTAATTTGATGTAAAATAAGAAGGCTGAGACAGTTTCCTTGGAAAATTTCTTGGAAGATGCATGTATAGTTTCTGCTCCAAATTATACCATACTTGTGTAATATCTACCAAACTAGAAAGTTTCACATAAACCATTTCGTGGACATCTAACTAAGGGAAATATAATGCTCTTTCTTCCAGATGTAACTCATTTTGAGTCCATGAGCTGTTCTTTTGAAACTCAGATATATGGCCACAGATGAAACAGTGACATTTGTGATATTTAAAGATGCACTGAACGAGCAATCTGCAGTCAAAAGTGTTAATACCAGTTTTGTTCTTTCTGGATGCAACACTAATTCAGTCTAAAATTTCTAAGCGTCAGCTTTTTCCTTGTATTCTAATTTGCTTACAGGAGGGAAAAATATTCAGTTTTAGGCATTTGCACTCATTACTGCTTCAAGAGAAATATCAGTTTTTGGAGATGCCTTTCATAAATCTCTTGGTAGTATAGATTTAAATAAAAACAAAAGGAAAATGTTAAAAGTTATCTATCACTACTATCTCCAGACAAATCAAACAAGTAGATAACTCTATAGTGAGCAAAGTAAAAGTAAAAATTATTGAAATAAAAAGTATCTTTCATTAGTTATGTGAACTGCTTGATTGTAACAAAGGCTACATTAACGCAGCTACTGATCTTCTAAACTAAGTGATCCTATGAGATCTGTGTTCCTTTATGATCTTCAGGAAAATCATAATTCCTTCTTTAAAACCAGTGGTCACTCAGTTTTTTTCCTGTATCCACAAGGTGTTTACAAAAATAGTTTTGTACCTCTTTCTGAGCACGTGAGAAACTCATGCATTCTGTCAGTGTATCCTCCACGTCCAACCTTGCCCAATGGGAAATGAGGATAACTTTATGTCCAGTAAACCAGAGGTATCAACTGCATTTGAAATATAGTTAGTAACGTAAAAACAAAACCAAAACAACAACAACAACAACAACAAAAAAAAACGCAACAGACAAACAAAATTGAAAATTGATTCTCTGAAATTACTTTTTCTTCCATCTGTACATCTTTTTCTTAGAAGTCTGCACCCAAGATCACCGTACAGGTAGCTCCCTAGGAACAATTATATTAAATAAACAAGACCAAATGATTCTTTTGCATAATTTCATTTGATTCTGTGGCATTACTTCAGAGCTGAACTTGCTTTCTGGCTATTACCTAGTGTTCCAAAAGTTACTACTTTGTCTGTTTTACTTACTTTCACATATTATCCTAGTATTTATAAGTGTAATTTTACTCAACCAGTATCACAGTCCAAATTACTACTCATGAATCTTTGTCAGTTTCAGAATAAAAGACACTGACTGATTTTTTATTTTCCTTCTAAATTCTGTGGCAATTCTGTGAAGGGCATTCATGTGCATGTTAACACGGTGAAGCAAATTCATCACATAATTAAATTGTATTAGTTTTGAAGAAAATATCTTCAGTTACAATTAAAATCTTTGCATTTTTGGTTCTTAGCTTCTGTATTTCTTGAAGCTTTCTAGATCATTTCTTGATGATTTTTAAAATGTCATTTTTAGTGACTGCAGTTGAAGGCATGTACCAGAAGTTATACAGCAATATATACCACGACTTCAATGTTATCTTAAGTTAGAATTTTGCAATATGTGATTTTCAAAGCAACTATTAAAAATGAGTGTTACCAATCTTTATGAGAATATTTTTAGCACCAGTTATGATCTGGGTTCCTCTGGCTCACATCAGACTTCTGTGATGTAAACAGTGTATTTTTGTCACAACGTGAACCCAAATTCCAAGCCGCACACCAAGCTTGTTAACACAAGAGCATGAAGAGTTTAAGTGCTTAGTGTATGTTAATATGTTTTAACAAACATATGTCTTTACTAAAAAATTACCCAGCTTTAAATTTTTACAGTTTATTGATAAAGCATAACTTTTCCACTTCTTTTTTAATCATAGTAGGTCTTTGTCTTGGAGTAGTGTAAGATGATATATTCAGGTATGAATAAGAATTAGCTTTCTACTTGCTTCTTCATTCATCTAGACACAATTTAAGTCCAGTAGCTTATGTTTATCAAATGATTACATTATTACTAGAAGCAATAGTAAGTCCTACGTTAATTTCCAAAATGAAAGTAGTTCAGAAATATTCCAGCTAATGTATTTTTATTAGGCTTATTAGTTAAACCTCATTAATTCAAGCATAGCACCAATCTAACATGAATCAGTCTGGTTTGGGCATTGAGCTGGTGAAATGAATCATATTATTCTGCTTAGTGTGGCTGATTCCTATTTTGGCTAACTCAATCCTCTTTCACCATCCACTGCTGAGTAAGATAGGTGAACCCTGTACCTTGGACTAGATTCTTAAAATCCATTATTGAACCTGTACAAGATGATTTGCTCCACAGTCTTGAGCAAATTAACTGTGTGGCTATAGAAACTGGACCTTAATCTTCTTCCCAGCCTTTAATTCCACCAGAAGGTTGATTTCAGTTTCTGAGATTTTTTATGCAGTAAATTATCAGGGTTAGGCCTCAACTTCTTTTTCTTTTTTTTTTTTTTTTTTTTTTTTTTTTGCGTAGTACAAAATGAACTTTCAGAAATATCCCTGTCTGCAAAATTATCTTTGAATTTTAGTTGCCTAACATCACTTTAAACTCAAAACTTTTATCTGGGAATTCATCAGACAGTAACCTCTGGAATACTCATTCCCCACATTGACAACCCCTATTTATTATACTATTTTGTACAGCAGAATTTTTGCAGAAGCCTATTGAAAATTGTCCCTGTCAGAGATCTCCAACACCTTTAAAATTCAGCACCTTACCCTGCCCCTTCCACATTAACATCACTATATTTTGGTGGAGAGCTTGCTGATCTGCAGAGGAAAGGAGTATGAGAGAAGATTTTTAGATCTGTAACAGAAGAAAAAGGATTCATTTGATGGTCCACTTCCACCTTCCCAGTCTCAGTGTATTACCTGCATCACTTGATTTCATTGCAAAGCTAAGAACCTAATGATGGTAAGGGTTTAACAGTACTTCTGGTATTAGGATAGGGTATGGTTTTGTCATTTAAACTCTTTACTCAGAGGGGATATTGAGTTTCCTTTGGGCAAATGTTACTGAATTTTTATATAAATAATCCTTGAATAAATTCTGTTTCTTAGTAAATTAAACAAAAACAACAACAAAATTCAAAGCCACAGCTTCTGTCCTATTTCTAATTCATGGCTGTTCTTTTTGTCCTTTTTACTGTGCGCTAGGTGATCACTTTCACATCTCAAAAATGTTGGCTTACATCTGAAACAGAGCTTTTTATAAATAGGATTTGGCAGAGGCTAAGAGTGCCAAGGTTGAACAGAACATCTTATTTTAGTAGATTATATTAGTAGATTATTGCTAGAGGAATGTGGTTCATTTCATTGTGAGAACGGTCCCAAAATTTTCATTCATAAGGGTTGCTTTGTATATTTTTGTTTCGCTTACATAGCAGTCCTTCCTCTGATTCAAAATCTTTGAAAATTAATGGGAAATATTTGCTGTGACTACAGTGATCCTTGAATTATGCATTAACAGATTCAGCAGATTCACAAGGAAATTCTGACTCAGCAAAAGCGTTAGAAATGTTTCTACTTTTCAGTATGTATCTCATTTGAATCCAGATATTATGAAGTAACTAGCTGTGTGACTAGAGTTGAGATCATTATTAAGTATATTAATAATCACAGACCAAAGCAATAAAGGTCATTGTAAGCCCTCTGATTTCTAATCACCTCTATATGAGCGATCAGGTCTGTGGCCCAAGCTCTTATTCACAAGCAGCCTTTTGACTTCAATGGATCTGCTCATATGAGCAGTAGAGAGGACACAGGTGAGCCACCAGTCTGGATGAATAACTCATTTTCTTACCTTCATATTCCATCTTCCTTAAAAAGCAAAAAAGCCTAAAAAGAAAGGAAAAAAAAAAAAAAAGAAAAAAAACAAAAGTCACCTGGACAGCGCACATACTTTTAATATCTGGATTTCCATCAGAAGCAACTCTATGTGCCTACAGTCATTTGCAGCTACGTTGTCATTCATCTGACAATGCATATTTACCTGCCTTTAAGTAAAACCTGACATAAATTAAAGTGTCCATCTAGGAAAACTCTTTGTCTACTACTTACCATCAAACATGAGTGATGTCATTGATTACATGCACTTTCTCAGACCATGGTTTAAATACTTAGAAAAGCAAATTCCCAAGGGAAGTCCTGAAGTAAATAATGACACAGTGAAATAAAATTACTTTTCAGAAAACTCATTTTCTCAGTTGTCATCCCCACATGGTATAAAGATGAAAAGAAACAAAAACATTTCGGTGCAGTGCAAAGTGCACCTTTATTAGACTGATGCATCCCTTATTATTTAATTTTAAATATTCATTTTTCAATCAGTATGCAAAACCACCCAGTAAGCAAAAGCTCTCTCATTCCACTGATGTGACCTTTTTCTTTTAGACATATAAAGAAATAGCTACATAATATGTCACAATATTTGAATTCAGGCCTTTTGATTATAACACTCAATATGAATAGCACCAACTTGTGAAAAGAGCTGTAAGAAAAGCTTAAAAATAAATATCCTCAGAACACATTTTTTCTTTCCTCCCTGTTTTCTTATCACCTACGCATGAAAATAAATGACAGCCTTAGCTTCTGGGATCTTAACAATCACTCTCAAACCTACCAGAAATTTTTCCTAATTATATCTTTTTAAAGGCTGTAGTTTGGTTAAATAGGGCCATTTCTGTCTTGGAGTAAATTTGATTCAAGAAGTAAACTGTAGTGAAAATATCAGAAGTTTCCAGGATTTATACTGAGATATTTCTGTATCCTGTGATGTATTTTAGACTTGACTTGAATAATGAGTATTTCAATGCCTTCTGGCTTGAAATATGAGTTGTGAGACTGAAAATGCACCTTGGTTCAGTGTCTGTCTAAAGCACTGTTTTTTTTCTTTGTTCAAGCACATTTCCTGGGAAAGCAGATGTTGTGCAACCACATAGGTCTCAGGTATAGGCAAGTAGCAGAGTCAGGCAGAACAGTTTCTGCACCGTACTGCTATCATGGTCTGGGCATTGTGGAGATCTGCTTCACAGTGTCAGTGTTGAAGTCATGAAAACCATTGAAGCTGAGGCCAAATAGTTTGGGGTAGTCAAATATAGCTCAGTGCACGTTTCATGCTGTGTTTTAAGAGTGTCCAGGCCTTCAGTCTTAAAACTTCTTATCAGAAAATTCACAAGATAATATATGCGTTCTTGAATATATTTATGTTATGTGTATACTGTTTATTACCCACATCCTAAATGTGACTTTTACAGGGGCAACTTTGTGTGGCTTCTTTTCCTTAGGCTGAAGTAATAATGCGTGTGGTCAGAAGCAGAACATTTAGAACATCTAACTCTTAACTCTTTGATTTTTAGTGTCTGTTCCCAGAATATGTCCCCAGAACACCTCACAACTGTTCATATCCCTAACATAGCCACCAAAGTTAGATACCTGCTGTGCCAGCAGCTCCAGTGAGCTCATATTTATTATTGTATTTAAATAAGAGCAAGTTTTACATAGTATACCACAAGCAAACAAACAAACTTCTCATTTTTTTTCATGACATCCTTTTTGTCATGGTGTTGTATATAACCATGAATAATATTGTGATCTTATTCTATTTGTTTCCTTGTTCCTTACTTCCATTATAAACTATACTTGTGTGTTAAAGTTGATATTGAAAGGATTTTTAGTTCATTATTCATTATTAACTTGTTTTAGCTCCAAATTCATTCTGATAGGTTTATGGGCTTAGAAGTGAGAAAGATTGATAGTCCTGATCGGTTCTGTCACAGGAAGGTAATTACAGAAGTTTAAATCTTAAGACAATCAAATTCCAGCTTTCTTTTAAACAATTTTGTATGTGATAAGTTCTAGTTTCCTTTAAAGAAGAAAATATTGAAACAGTTTGCCCAGAGAAGCTATGGAGGCTCCATCCTTGAAGGCATTCGAGACTAGGTTGGATTGGGGTCTGGGCAGCCTGACTGAGTGGGTTGCAACCCCTGCCCATGGAGGGGAGTTGGAATTAGATAATCTTTAAGGTCCCTTCCAACCTAAGCTGTCCTATGGCTCTATGGTATTGCACACTACCTACAGAAGGAGCAAAGAAATATGAGTGAATTGTCTTAAAGAACAGAATTTAGACTTTCCAAAGTCTAAATATTTTTAGAGATTTACTTTTAAGGAGGAGGAGGAGGAATTATTTTTGAGACTCTTTGCCTCAAGCAGCAGCCAGTAGTGCTGATTTTGTGGGAGTGGTGTCTAACTGAAACAAAATTGTATTCTGTGAATTGCCAGAGAGTTATGCTGTAGGAATGTGTTTTAGATAGGACATTACCAGGAAACAGATCTGTGTTACTTGTACTCTGGCACTGCATGGGATTCAGATGGAGTTTGCAATGGTTTCTACTAGGAATTATTAGATAATATGGGTGTTATGCTAGTAGACAAGCACAATTTTCTCATGATGACATTTTTTGTAAATTCATTTTTTTTCTGAAGTTGTGGAATATTCAATCAATTTGCACACCGGAGACTTGAAGAAAGCAGATGCCACTGGTGAGGCTTATCTGTGTATTCAAGGAGAAAGGACTGACTCAGGGAAACGATGGCTTAACTCGAGAAACAGCCTGATTACTTTTGCTAGAGGGCAGGTAAAACAATGAGGAAAAACATAACTGAATCTGCAAGTATCTTGTTGTTATTTCTTATGTTATTATAGAACTTTCCATGTACAAAGCATCAAAAACATTTCACTAACTTTTGCATTCTGTGTGGGTATAATTTTTTCTATTAACTAAGATGTAATTTTCATAGGTAACATATTAAGCATCAATAGCATTAAACAATAGTAAAGCAATTAAGTTAATGAGGTAATGTTGAGTTGAACTAAATGTACTCTGAAATTTCATCTTTAATATTCCAGACTTTTAAGCCTATGGAGTTATCTTTGTTTAGATATACCTGGTAGCTCTGATAAAATTTCTGTAGAATAACTTGCCTTTATACCACAGCCTTCTCTTGATTAGCCTTCCTGAATAGTAATAACTATATTCCAAGCAGTAATTTATTTTTTTGCGCTTCCATTATTCTTTTTCCTCATACTTTCTTGCATTTTGAGTGTTCAAGAACTTTTCCTAGTAGAGTAATTCCTTAAGTGGTTGTGGGCATAAAAATAAAGTAGCTAAAACAAATTTCAGATCAAACAGAAATATCTGTTTCAGATTGACAGGGAATATCTTGCTGACACTTTATTAGACTCCCATTGTGTTCAGATTTGGAATATTTTTTGTTTGTTTGTCTTAAGCAAATAATAAAATCATTGCAAATATTTGCTGAAGGGAAAAAGGGAAGATTCCATCAAGTCTGTTCATCATGGAAGAGAGAAACATCTATCATAGAAATGGCTTCCACAAAAAAGCCTTATTCCAATAGAATCATAGAATCACCAAGGTTGTATAAGACATAAAAGGTCATCCAGTCTAACCATCTGCCAATCACCAATAGTTCTCACTAAACCGCCATGTTCTCACATGTCCCTCAACATGTCTAAACGTTCCTTGAACACCTCCATGGTCAGTGACTCCACCACCTCCTGGGGCAGTACATTCTAGTGCCTGACCACTCTTTCTGAGAAGTAGTATTTTCTAACATCCAACCTGAATCTCCCTTAGTGCAACTTGAGGCCATTCTCTCTAGTCCTACCACTAGTTACATGAGTGAAGAGGCCAACCCTGGTCATTCTGTGATTCTGTAATTACAGAGAGCAATAAGGTCTCCCCTGAGCCTTCTCTTGTCCAGACTGAATAATCCCAGCTCTCTCAGCTGCTCTCCGTAGTACTTGTGCTCCAGACCCCTCACAGCTTTGTTGCCCTTCTCTGGACATGCTCCAGGGCCTCAATGTCTTTCTTGCAATGTGGGGCCCAAAACTGAACACAGTACTCGAGGTGTGGCCTCATCAGTGCTGAGCACAGAAGGATGATCTCTTCCCTGCTTCTGCTAGCAACAGTATTTCTGATACAAGCCAGGATGCCATAGGCCTTCTTGGCCACCTGGGCACACTGCTGGCTCATGTTCAGCTGAGATATATAGCAGAGTGGTTGAAATCTTCCCAAATGCTATTCATTTGATTCTCATTTACCTGTCTAATTCCCACTCAATTAACTGTGATTTTTAGTGAAAATGAAATTGCTTCAGGTTTTGAGAATAATTAGATATTTGCAAGTTCCACTGAGAGTTTGGGTCTCATTCAAAATAACTTTCAACACAAGTAGACATTGTGATTTGGTTATTTTAGTCTATGAACATGCAAGACACGAGGACTTTATTGCTATCCATTACTTGTAAAATTACATCCTATTATGTACAGCAATTTTTTTATAGTCATAATATTCTCTGGAACAGAAAATATCAGTTATCACATTTACTGTTTAATTATGAACTCTAAGACAATGGAATGGTGTGAATGAGACAAATTTGCCTCTTTTAAGATATAGAGCAGTGTCCAGATGCACAAAGCTAGATTGTTAAATATAATTTAAATTATTTTCACATTACAGGTGGATGTTTTCAAAATCAAAGCAGTATACCTTGGCAAGTTGAAACAAGTTCTCATTGGATTTAAGAGTACAAAAAAAGGTCAGCATTTTTTTTTCTATACTTCAGTAATAAATTTGAGATTAAAATACTTTTTTTTTTTTTTATTTGAAATTACTCTCAACTTTCTGTTGTTATTTCTATTGAATTATACTTCTCAAGTATCTAGCTGTGCTAAAATTCACTGCAGGATATTATTTGTGTCCTCCCTCCAGCTCAGCAAAAGCTCTTGTTGTTAAAGAAAACTGTTCAGCTCTGAAACAGTAACAGCAGGGATCATCATAAACTGATATTCCGTTCAATAATTTGGCTAAAATTTTGGCCCAGCAATGTTCAGAGGCAAGAGATTAAAGCTTTTACAAGTTTGCCACTTGTGCAGATAATGTTGATATTGGAGACAAGACCATTCCAGTGCATGATAAACTGAGTCTCTTGTTATTTTTATCAAAAAGCAAGACTATAAGATGACTCTGTATATTGAACTTAAAGATGCGCATATAAAAACTGATTAGGGAACTACTTCTCATTTATTTCTTACTTGATTACACTAAACTGGATGATCAGACTTTCATTAACTTCACCAAAACTAGGAGTATAGCCAAGTTTATCAAAACTCAAGGGTCCGAGCGTTGTTTCCAGAGAATACGTTAACTAGCTTTCTTCAAGAGAAGAATTTCAGCTAAGTTTGTATCTTTTTAGATTGCATAGATACTTGCAGAAGTTGTGTTGAGAAGATGTTTTGGTGGCTGATCTGGCAGAAATCCTGATACGCTGTTTTCCATTGGGATATTTATAATACGATTTTGTATATGGGATCTCTTGTGTAGAGATCTCTTAGAAGCTTTTCCATCCTTTGGAGCTTTGGATCCTTTTGATCTATCCTTTGGATAGATCAAATCTATCGAAGCATTTATTTTTTCACTAGGTCTACATAAATTTTCTTTAAGAATTTTTCACTGTATGAAATGTACTAGAGAGCAGGGGAACGGACAGAAATGTACATGCACAGTCACAATATTTTCAGAAGTCTCATTTCCTTAAGAAGTCAGACAAAAGAAACCATTGCACTGATTTTGTAAAGATAGAAACTTATGACTGCATACCAAGAATATTTTGTAACTTAAAAAGTTTAAATTAATAATGTTCTATTTATTTTCATACAGATGAGTGGCTCTTGGAAAAAATTGTTATAAAAGAAGTCAGCTACCCTTTTTCTTCACATGTCTTTGTTCATAATGACTGGATCAATAAACATCCTAAGAAAGATTTTGTGGAAGTGGTAATTCCTCTCAAAGGTAATAAATACCAGCAGAAATGCTCCTTATTTGTGTGAATTACTATTGCATGGCAAAGCATAATGAAGTTAGCACATGGCTACTTCATGGCTGCTCACCTACAGTGTAGGCAAAACCAAACACTGGCTCCTGATCCAAGGTGAATTATGCCTTCTTTAAAACAAAGAAGCAGTCATGCTTGGGATGAAAATGATGGCAATGCCAATGCTTCTAGTTCTTGCTGCTACTGGAGGAGTTGATAACGCATAGTTTAGTCTTACAAAAGTTGGCATATACTGTCAGAACTTTGGTGAGTAGTTGCAAGCGTTGGCAGCATGTACAAAGCAGAGAAGATGGGCATGTCACTTGTGTGAATGTCACAAATGAATTTGTGAAAAAGCTAGCCTGGTTTTACACACCTTCATAGGACTAGAATGAGCAATGGGGCTTTTGTGAGTGCTGCCTGACTTGTCTGTAGCAGATCCAGTCATACTAGGCAAAATAATTTTATGTCATGATTCATACTGTCTTATAATTTAGATATCTGCTCTGAATATATGCTTGTTTCCAATACAGAAATGTCTGTGACATCTCTTCTTACAAAACAAATTAATACTAAAAGCAGAGGACGATGGCAAATGTGGGTACACTGTGTGGAAGTTCCAGAAGATACACCTGATGTTCAAGTTGTGGTATTTGGAACAGAAGGGAAATCTTCTTCGCAGAAAGTTCAGAATCTGAATGATAATCCATTTCTGGTTGGTTTCTTCTTTCTTTCATGCAAGTTTTACCGGAGTGTTACAGTAAAAGTAAGATTTGCAGCTTCTGAATGTGAAGTTCCATGTACTGACTTTTTTTTTGTTTGCTGGAGTTGATGTTTACCCCTCCATATCTTAATTGAGCAGTTGAAGAAATTCTTACATGTAGGCTGATGCATATGACTTACAGAACTCTTTTACTGAGCAAATGACAACTTTGGCATGAAAAACCTCACTGACTCGCAGTAAGTCTAGTAGTCCTTAACAGTAAGGTTTTAACTAAAGAAGTTATTTCATAGTTCCTTTACTTTTTATTTCTCAAACCTCATCTAATCTGTTTTCACTGTTTAGAAGCTATATTCCTTTACCATGAACCCAGAAAAATACTTATTCTGAAATGTGCACGTGAAAATAATGGCAGTTTCTGGGCAGGTATTTGAATCTGAGCAATACTTTCTCTATGTTTTTTATTCTTAAACGTGAAAAAAACAATAATTACTCATTGTTTGCAATTTTTTTTTTCATTTATTTTTCTAACAGTTGACTGTTGGAGATGTTGGAGATATAACAAAACTTTCATTTTTGTTATCCAGTCCATGTTTGGAAAGAGGAATTAAGCTTCACAAGGTATTCCAGTATATTCTACATAGAAACAAAGTATTCTGCTTAGTACTTGTATAAGTAGCTTCTGTTGAAAAACATATTGTCATCTTTGGTTTTCTACCACATCAACCGGACCAGACATCTTGTGGCTCAGTTACCTTTTGTCTATAGATAATTTCCTACAATTTCTAGATCTCTTTGAGAGTAGAGCCACCTGTTTCAGCCCAGTGAAGCACATACATTCATACCCACTCATTTCTGTATGGATCCATGCTGCACCACGGTATGGAGGGCAGCATTTTTTTCCTGGTGTTAGGAGATGATAATATTGATAATATTGAAATATTGATAGCCCCCAGATACAATGTGACCTAGTTGTGGAAAGCCATTAAGCTGACATTTTTTATTTATTCAATACAAAGTATTCATTAATGGACCTCAAACATCTGGTTGATGTTTAGTATGTACTTAAAGTCTCTCATGAAAAATGGTGGTGAAATTATTTAATTCTGTCCGTGTTACGATGCAAACATATTTTAAAGGTATGCTTTTCTGCAAAGGGTTGTAAGATTGAGTAGAAGGGTGTTGTAAACTCATGTAAACTCTTAGGCTTTGTTGAAAAACCTCAAGCTTGGAGATTAAAGCTAAGCAAAGTTGTGTTAATAAACTCGACTTGGAGGCAACTGTCCATACGACTTATAGACGTAGCACTGAATTATTCTCAGGACAGTAAAAGAATAATATTCTGAACTGGGTCACACAGTTCCTTCTCACTACAGCAAATTTAAATGAGTGTAAGGTGAATCTTTAAATGAATAAACAGTCCAGAAACCATCCTGATGGAAAAAACTGGAGATAGCAGTGTTCTAGGGTGAAATCTGAATGGGCTTACGATACTCAAAGGAAGATATCCTCAACTGAGGATAGAGAAGAAGTTTATCTTCTGAAATGTGTTAATCAGTTCACTTTGTGGTCTCAATTCAGGCTATAATAATGGAAAAAAGTAGGTTAAAAACACAGATTTCTCATTTTAAATACACTTCTCCAGGCCATTTGATAAAAATTCTTAAGACTGACTCTAACCCTTATGATACCTGCTACACCTGAATAGGTGGCTTCAAACATGGCAGAAAATTCATAAAAATCTGATTGCTTTTTGCTGCACATTTATGTTTTTTCTTCAAACACAGCCCTCTGCAAATTGGTGAGTGATATTTTGTGATGCTTTTAAATTCTTCAATAGTTTTATTGTTGTTGTTGTCATTTTAAATAAATAACTTATTAGTAGCTATAAATTTTTGCAGTCTACAAGAAGTCAATGGATTGCTATAGATCTGTGTAGTCTCTTCTGCTGGTGCACTTACAACCCACAATATAAGCAACAGTAACATATACTGTGCCAGTAATATGTTTATAACATCTATTACTCATTTATCAGTTTGTTTATAAATTATTTATATGGAATCTTAATCTAAAATGTAGCAATGTGTTTTGATTTTAATAGAATTCTTGCAGTGCAGCAAAAACCAGAAATGCTGTACAGAAATAGAAAACTATAGGAGTCAGTCAATATGTGCAAATTTGCTATGAATCAGTGGTCAAACCAAGTCCTAGTTGAAAGGAAAAAGAATCATTTTCATTATTTTCTCATTAAATGAAAGGAATAATAATGAACATTTCAGAAATTTCACACACGCGCAAAAACAAAAACAGATACAAATGCATTTGTGAAGTATAAAACAGAGATAAAATCCCTGTGTTCCTTTTGCTACTCTATCTTTTGTCTGTTCTGATTTTTACAACAGTTTTAGTGTATAAGAGGTTTTCCTTCTGATTTCCTATGGTACTCTGTAAACTTCTTTAGAAAATTATCAAAGTTTAGCTAAAACATAACTTTCCTGTAACTTTTGAAGACTTATACACTATAGAAGAGCTGGTTTTTTTTCTTACTTCAAAGCAGTTTTTCTCCCTTTCCAAAATAAAACAAAATCATTTTTACTTTTCTAAAGAATATAGAAATACTATATGATTGGGAGATAAAACACATAGATGCAATATTATGACTAGAAAGAGCTTGTCAGGTACATTTTGCTGCAGAAATTTACTTCATAAAGTTACACATCTTCCCTTCCTTTCCCTTCTCTTTTTTTAATGGATCCAATTTCTGAAAGGTACTTGCTTAGATGTTCAGTTAACCCTTAGTATAATTTTATTACTGATAGGAGATAAAAGCATTAGCAGTGGAAGTAAATTTGGGAATCTCTGCCTAAGAGTTTCAATTGCCGGTGACATTAAATTTTCCCTCTTCCCTTTTCCTTTTCCATCTCTTCCTGATAATAATATTTCTGTACAAAGAGAAGTCTCACAGAGTCTCAATAAGCCATTTCCAAAGCCTTGCAGTTCTTAGATATTACTGAAGTTGAGTCCTGAATATTATAGTTACCTGAAATGTTCTTGCATATGCTTGTTACACTTTTATTCTGTACTTTATCACTTGACCTAGAATTAAGTTCACAGCCCGGATTTCCCTCTTGTGAACCAGATCTCTGCGATGACTTCAACAGGAGCTAAAAAACTAGGCTCCCAAAGCTATGCTTCCTTTGTTGCTTTGGAGGTTCTAAGCACACAGACTTGGAGCCTAATTTGCCAGTGTCCATGATGTATTTCCTCCTATTGGAATTCGTTCTTCAAATGCCATAATTACTACAGGGAACTCCAAAGGCTATTGCATACCTAATTCCTGCCTACTTTGAAGATCCTAGCTGTAATACTGCAAGTCACATCTAAACAAATAAAATTTGGCAAAACAAATGGGCATATAACATATAACAACATATTACAGTAGCATATAACAACATATAACATATATAATATAATGGTGCTCTAAGTGTAGTTATTCATTTGAAATTCTGAAATTGCAAGTATATACAAGACAATTTAATCTATATCTTTCACCTCTGTCCTAGCTTTGTCTAAGATAGAGTTAACAGTAGATGGTATGATGCCATGTTTTGGATTTAAGAGAGTACACTGATGCTTTAGTTGCTGCTGAGTAGTGCTTACATTAATCAAGAACTTTTCAGCTTCTTTTACTGTTGGGCCAAAGGGATATCCCATATCATATAGTGTCATGCTGAGCAATAAAGCTGGGACACTTGGATGTGAGGAGGCAGCTGCTGCTCATGAACTGGCTGGGAATAAGTCAGCAGGTTAAACTACAACTTGGTTTCCTACAAGTGTTCCCAGTATCTGTGCCATATATATGCAGATATAAGTAGGCTACAGAATCAGGGGCTGGCACTATTGTGGCTCTCCTTATGCAGAATGAGGTATCTTTACAAAGATTGTATGTGTTATAAATAGGAAGAAGATGGTTTCTTTGGAAGTGGAAATAAAAAGCACAGTATTTCAGAGAAGCAGATGTGTTTCTACTTTTTTCTGCAGCTTAGGCTGAAAGATCTGGACACTAAACAGGAACTGAGCTTTCCCACTGAAGCCCAGTATCTGTTTGGAGAAGATGGATCTGAGACTGTGACAGAGCTAGCAGCAGTCAGACCAGACAAAGCGCCACTCAGAGGTATGTTGCTGAACAAAGAATAAGTATGTAAAGAAATACATAAACACATTCATACAAAGTTGTGAACTATTTAATGGAATAAGCACAATGAGCAAGAATATAAAGCATTTTATTATAAAACAAATCACTCAAAATGATTTTTAAATATTCATTCAGAATGTCAGAGTCTTTAGTAACATGTATTGCTCATACGTTTTTAATCTGTTTTAAAGCAACTGACATTTTGTTTTCACTAGTCTAAGCACTAATCTGAAATTCTGAAACCTGTAAAACCCAATTAGAAAATGTTGGAAATTAGAAATGTTCAGAAAAAGACTGATTTACATAAGGTGAGGGACAATATCATGGATTTTAAAAAAGCACGTGTATAGACATAATGGCATGATTCACAGAAAGAAAAAAAAAGTTGTTGAAGTTTTCTCCAAACCTCTTTTCTGCTCCAGTAGCTCTGTTTCATTTAATCATTGCATCTGAAAATATGATAAAATTTTCCTTTGTTCTGACTACATTGCAAACAATATTTAGCAAAAAAACCTCATTCATAATAGTCCATCTTCTTAGTTAAAATACTTCAAACTTTTTTGCATTTGCCACCTAACTAACTTGATCATAATAGTCTATTACAACATTAAAATCTTCACAGTGTTCACAGAAACCATAAAGAAAAAAATCCTTTGTCCTACTGTCTCAAGCAATACATACTACATAACTCATCAGCAAGTCATGGCAAGCTGTCCTTTCTGTTGAATAATAACGATGCATATCCAAATAAATTGCTGAACCTTAACAAATTAATTGATGGTCACCATTTCTCCTAGATAGTAGCAAAGTTAGAAACAGACAAAACATTAATGTCAAGTACAAAAGCTTCAGTTCTTGGTCTTGAATATCCTGTTTTATAATGATTGGTAATTACATTGCTAAAAATGCTGATTTGGTAATGTTTTTGTGTCTCTGATTTTTCATTACAGAAGTTCTTTACTCAGTCAGAGTTCATACAGGAACGTTGCCTGCATCAGGAACTGACGCAGACGTATTTATAACTATATTTGGAGAGCAGGGAGATTCCTGCAAAAGGAGACTAAGACACTCATGTTTTGAAAAAGGACAGGTTAGTAGTTAGCTATGTTCCTTAACTGTTTTTTTAAAATGTTTCATTTTATTGCTTTTTTTCACAGACATTTTTGTTGTTGTTATTGTCAAGAACAGGTACTGATGTTATGCTATGGTATAACCTGAGGAAAATATATGTTACTTACTAAAGACCCTGTCCATGGCAGGGGGCTTGAAAATAGATGAGCTTAGAGGTCCTTTTCAACCTGGGCCATTCTATGATTCTATGAAAGCATCTTTCGTACGAGGAATGATTAAACAAGCAAGTACTGTTTAGCCTGGAAAAGGGATGTTGAGATGAAGGGACAGGAAGTAAAAAAAAATAAAATGAGAAAATCAGTAATCCTACTTCCTCATGAAATATGAGAGCTCAAGAACATTAAATGAAAACTGCAGGTGACAAGTTCAAAACAAAAAGAGGTGGATTTTTACACAGTATATCATTATTCTGTCTTAATTTCTGCTACAAGATGTTGCAGATGCATGTTGGTGCAAAAAGATATTGCACATATGAACAAAGGAAAAAGTTTACTATGAGAATGACAGAGCACTGAAACAGGCTGCCCAGAGAGGTTAAGGAATCTCTGGAAATATCCTAAACCTGTCTGGACGTTTTCCTGTGCAATATACTGTAGGCAACCTTTAACAAGAAGGTTGAATTAGATGATTTCCAGACGTCCCTTCCAACCCCTATGATTCTATGATTTTAGTGGAAAAAAATTGTTAAGTGCAAAGGCATAACCTCTGGCTCAGAAAATCTCTGAACCACAATGGTAAAGCCTGAGAGAGTTTATGTTTAAGAATTTTCTCCCTATATCTGCCCTCTTTCTCTACTCTTCCCTAGGAAAATATTATTGACAACTGTTAGTAACAGTACTAGATGCATCTGTTATCTGACATACTACTTGCAATATTATGGTTTTTTTAATTAAAAATACAGTAATAAAAAATGTTGGAATGAGGATATAGTGACAGTATCTAAAAGGTGGAAGGAAGAGATGTTAAGAGCAAATCGTACTTACAGACAGTATCCCTGGAAAATATTGAGTGGACAGGCAAAGAAGACAAAGTTAAGGAAAACTGAGATATAAGAGAAAGGGTTTCTCTTGACTGATAAAGACTGGAAAATAAAAAAAAAAAACTAGTAAGACAGAAAAATATCACAAAGTATAAGCAAATATGTGACTATGGAAAGGACAGCTAGTTTGTATTCATTCAAGTAATCATGTCTTCACTTTTTCACCAGTTTAATGGGTTAAATAAGTGGGCATTGTAATTTTGCCTAGCTTACTCTCTGTCTAAAGTAAGTCAATTTAAATAAAATCCTGTTGTCATTCATTAATTACATTCTCGGTAGTGTGTTTAATGCAGTTCCAAATGCCTTTATACTGAGTAGAAAAAAAAAAAAATGGCATCAACCAAAAGTACATTCTTGCTAATACTGAAGGAGTAGGCAATTTAATGTATTATTACAAGAATTCACTGATAACAATGAGTGATTATGACCACAATTAGACACTGACTGTTAATTATTATCACAAAGAATGAGACTAATGATAGGTTCCTTTTTCAGACAGAGTTAGCTGTGAAAGAACATGAATATTATCAGTACAGGCTATTTCCTCTAAGTCAAGGGTCATGTAGATGACACGAAAATGATATTTGGCTTGGAATTATAAAGAATAAAATTAAAAGGCAATGAGTGTTACCAAAAAGTTATTTACAAGATATTTCTCCCAGCTGTATCTTATTTTGGGCTGTATATGCATTCAAGGATATAACGAGGTAATCATGGAAGCTCTAAGGCTGTGATATGAAGAATAACTCTGATGTTTTCTTTTTCTGAGCACACTGTGGAAAGTAGTTCAACACTGCCAAGGGAATGGACCAGATGACACAATAATTTTTAAAAATCATCTCTTTTTTGTTGCTTTCTGGTTGTCATGCTTTTTCCTGCCTGGTGGCAAATTGGTTGGCAACAAATAAAAATTACAGCATCTGTTTCTACTATCCATCTGCATTTTTTTTTAATGTCACCCACACTCATGCCCATGTATCTACCCACCCGCTTGTATTATTTCTTGCACAGAACACATTCATTCTCTCACTCATATAATTTATTCATCCCAACATGCACTAGTGCAGTTGCCATTTAGCTTTTGTTTGCTACTAGCTGTAGCAATATTTAAACAGATGTCTATTTACATCCAAAGAGCACATAAATTCTTGCTTGTATGCGTGCACAGCCTTGCTTATAGTTTCTAATGTCAGTATCATCCTTTTGTTTGCATAGTCATCTACGCTGTCAGTATTTCAGTTCAGACTTGAATAATACAGCATTTTTTCAAATGGGAAAACTTAGAATATAAAGTAATTTGACATTTTTTGTTTAATAAAATGCCTTATTTAAACCAAGTTCAATTTACAAGACCAGTCCTGAATTTTCGAGGACTCCCTTTGATTCAGTTACAAGGAACAGGTTAAGTTTTGAGAGATCTTACAGAAGATCTGAGATTTCTTTCCAGTGTGTACTAGTGGGATACTTTTCCTAATACAGCCTGGGATGCAGTAATCATGAAAAAGAAAATAATGCATACATTCAAGGATCCACATATTTTCTTTGTCTCCAAATGTAAATTTCAAAATATCAGAATATCTTTCTTTTCTGTCAGAAATCAAAAGATACTTCAGTATTGAAAAGAGTATGTCTTTCCAAACATGCTCCTATAGATAAAAGATGGAACATGTTGTTTAATCAATTTAATGCAGCTGATTTTATCTTTAACTTCTCAGGTCAGTATCTCCGAGGTGAGAGCAGTAGACCTTGGACAATTAAGCAAAGTGCTTGTTGAGCACAGTAATGTTGGTTATGGAGCTGGATGGTACTTGGACCAAATTGTCATCCATGAATCAGGCAAGACTGATAGCCAATATATATTTCTTTGCCGGCAATGGTTAGACAGTGGAGTTGGTGATGCACAGATGGAACGAATGTTGAGACTTCTCGGAAAAGTCAGGAATGAAATGCTGACAGAAAAGATTCACGGTAAGACTCAAAATCATCAAATTTACTTCTGGTTTTTGTTTTAATGATAATTTTTCAGGTTATTTTTAAGACTAAAACCAAAATAGAAAAATAATATACCTTAAATGTAAGTTGTATCTCTCAAACTATCTCTCCAAACACTTTCCAGACCTGGTAGGTAGAATTATAATTAGCAGAACGGAGAGATGAAATGAATGGGAGCAACAAAGTGTGTGTTTAGTTGAGGCTTGAAAAAAGCTGAAGCAGAAAGAGGTAGGTTGTTCCATATGGCAATCAGTGCAGAGCAGAAGGCTCCTACAACAGTGGTGAAATCTCAGGAAGAAATACAGAAACTCATATAGCAGAATGAGATTTTCCTGTGTGTTCATATGTTTGCAAAAAGCATTTGCTTTTTTTTTTTTTTTTTGCAGTTTTCGTTTTTACTTAAATGGCATGAGTTTTACTTAAATGGCAAAGTTAGTTGACCTGGACCCAATATCCTTTTCAATTTAATGAAAAAAGGATTGAAATTCAGAAATAATGTAAACACCAAACCTGATAAGTGTTTTACATTTTGCTGTTGGACTGGATTTCTTAGCTCTCTGACACATCTTGTCATTTTTTTAAGAAGTGTTAAATGTTTTGGGTCCATTTATGCAGTTTGACTCAGAAGTGCTAGACCAAATTATGTGAAGTTTAACTAATCTGAAAATGTGAATTTGTATTCTAAATCAATAATTTTGTACATTGACCATTATTGATTTCTATATTCATGGTTATTCCATTTTATGTTTAGAGTTCTATATTGTTGCAGACATGGCTGTAGTACATATTTTTATGTTTAGCTGCCTGTACCTTGTCCAGTAACAGATATTTTATATCATTTTAGGAAATACAAAAATGCTATTACTGAGACAACAGGACAGAATAATGTGGAAAGTTAAGCTACATAGCAGCTAGAGTAATGTCTATTTCAAAATAAGAAATTACTGTACTACAATACTTCAAGAATTCCATAGGTGCCCTACATAATCCACAGAGTGAGGCAGGCTTCTCCTAACAGGTATTTAGAGCAAAAGCCCAGGACTGATCAGGGTCTGTCAACTCTCTTTTCACTGACAATTTAAAAGGTGTGAGAAATCTTGCACCCTTTTCTAGTGTCTGAGTGTAGGTATGTAAAAAGATTCCACAATCATATTTATATTCAATTGTGAATCTATTCAACATCAGTTCTGGTCAGTGTGTATAATACTTCTGTGAAGAATTATGAAGAATATTACAGACAAGCAGAGAGACTAAAAGGAATTTAGAAATAAGGCTGATCAGCAAAGAGCACTATACCTTAGAGGTAAGAAAGTATACGGATACAACAGAACTTAACTAAATGTCAAACTGAGACACATTTTATAAAGGAATTAAAACAAATAGTAAAGGTTCTTCAACCATTTACTTTAAAAAAAAATATGGAAAGATAGATGACTATGCAGGAGCAATAAAGTGGAACTAAAGATGATGTAGGTAGAATCCCTAAACAAACTGAATATCTTATGTCTGTTTTCATTAATGCCCCAAAGTATGTGGAAGGGAAGCAAAATCAAAAATTACTAGTGGGAATGAAGTTATTGCAAATCACTAAATGTGAAATGCAAATATAGTTTGAGTTTCATGCAGTCAGTGACAACATAAGCAGTTCTTAGTCTGAAATACTGAAAGAACAGGGAAAATAAGAGGAAGAAGTAGGAGGTTATAAAATAATTATATGGCAAGGAGAAGTACAACTTGTAAATAACAAAGGTAATATCTCCATCTGAAAAACTTTAAGTAGTTAGAGTAGCAGAAGCAAATAGGAAATAAAAGAAATGAGTTAACAAATAATAAATTGTAAGACAAAAATGATACTTTTAAGAAATCTTCTCCCATAAGAGAAATATAATGACATTTAATCTGTGTAAATGTCAGTATTGAATTGTATTTGCTCTATGAGAAATTATTAGGTAATTAGAAAGTGGAAAGTGGAAAGACTCCACAGCTGTGAGTTATGTCACAGGTGATACTGTAAATTTTCATTTCACTTTCATTTTTTTTTTGTAGATGTTACTGTTTCCATTTGTATTTAATGTTCACAAACCTGAAGCTCGTAGCTTTTTATGGTTAACATTAAAATCATAATTTCTGAAGTTATTTTAGATGAGTGCTGTTTTTCTAGCTTCACAGAGTCTTGAATTCATGGCATGGATTCTCATCTGCTGCAAATTAACAGTTTTATTTAAATTGATTTGTACAAGGAGAGAGAATGTTTTGCTGGCTGTGGTTAGAAAGCAAGACTTTATAGGACAGTGAAAATCACTGTTTCCATTGCTCAAAATAAAATATCCCCAGTTTACAAAATATTTACAAACATTTATAAATATTAAAATCCATACTTTGGCTTACTTTGCAAAAACAGAGCTCAGTGGATCACGGTGAATTCTACACCAGCCCAGGTGACCAAAGCCCTTCTGTAGAAGTCGGGATTTCTTTGGAAATGTAAAGCATGTTGTTGATAACACTGATTTTTCCATATAGGCTATTAACATTAAGAGCATTTTAAAGCTAGGGAGACTTTTTTAAAGTGAAAGTATCTGATCCTGAAGTTCGTGAGTCTACCTGCTATCAGCCTGCAGTATTTATGCACCACCACGTGACAGTTAATTCATATGGAATATTTAAAATACTAAATGCTTCAAACCTGACTTTTAGTTTGAACACAAGTTATTATTTTCTTTTCAATATCATCCACTGACAAGACAAGAGGCAATGAACACAAAGCGTTGAATATGAGTTAGTGATGTGCCCTTGCTGCTTAGAAGGCTAACAGGATTCTTGGCTACATTAGACAAAGAATAGCAGGTAGGTCAAGAGAGGTGATTCTTCCTGTCTACTTAGTGTTGGTGAGGCTGCACCTGCAATACTGGGTGCAGTCCTGCTCTACCCCCACTACAAGAGAGATTCTGACATACTGGAAAGAGTCCAACACAGGGCCATCAAGATGACAAAGGGAATGGAGATCTCCTTCTATGAGGATGAACTGGGAGAGTTGGAGTTGTTTAACCTGGAGAAGAGGATGCTCGGGGGAATCTTATCAAGGTATATAAATACCTCAAAGAGAGTACAAAGATGATGGAACCATTCTGTTCTCAGTGATGCCCTGTGTCAGTGGAAGAAGAAACGAGCACAAACTGAAACACAAGGGTTTCCCCCTGAGCATCAGGAAGCACTTCTTTCCTGTATGGGCACAGGTTGCCCAGAGAGGCTGTGGAATCACCTTGTTGGCGATCTTCAGAAGATGCCTAGACATGGGCCCAGGCACCCTGCTCTGAGTATCCCTGCTTGAGCAGAGGTTCTACCAGATGAACTTCAGAGATTCCTTCTAGTCTTAAAAATTTTTTGTTTCTGTTAAGATAATTTTTCAATATTTTTCCTAATGTAAAATTACTAAGTTTGAGTGTTTTCTGTGTACCTAAAGTTTCCGAAGCCCTATATTGTTACATGGGACTATTTTTAGTCTAAGCAAACATCACTTCTTTATAAAGGAAATCCATAAGGTTTTATGCTTTGCTGTTATGATAACTTTAGTATCAAATTTCAAGCACTGAACCATTTATCTTATCAGCATTTTGTTTATATGTAGCAAATTTTAATAATCTAGTTTAAGTAGCTCCTCAAAGTTTGAATGCAGTTATTACCCTGGATCAAAGGAAAACCTGATATCCAGTACTATGTTTTAGAAAATGTGCTGCTTTTGAGCGGCAGTTAGTGAGAAAAAGATTAAAATTATCAGAGGCAACAATTATAGGCTGAAAAATGTCAATGAACTGGCAAGGCTCTTCAGTCTCTAATAGGAAGCTGGCAGCCTCATTTGCCTAGTTCTGCTGGATTGTTCCACCTCTAAAGAATCAACTATCACTGTAGAAAGGCTGATTTGTTCCTCAGTATGTACAATATATCAATGATAATAACTGAATCTGTTATGTTTCACAACTAGCCCAGTGCAAAGATGAGAATGGTTTGCTAGTCATTCACTAGCAGCCTGTTACAAATTGATGTAATATTTTTGATATTCAGCAAACCCTTTAATTATTTTTTAATGTTTTTCTTCAACAGGGACTTGGGATGTCTTTGTCACAACTAGTGATATTTCTAGTTCCACAAATCCTAAAATGTCACTAACTGTTTGTGGCGGAAAAGGTGTCTGTACTTCAATCATACTCCCAAAAGGATCCCTTAAAAAAAAGCAAGTTTATGAGACTTCAATTGAATTAAACAAGAAATTCACTACTATATTTAAAGTTCGCCTAGAAATTGAAGAAGCTGGAGAAGGAGAGTCTTGGCATTGCCATCAGGTAAAAAATAAAAACTAAAGCAAAAATAAAGTTCCAAAACCCTGCCACAGGCAGGGCCAGTAGTAGGTCAGATATTTGTTGTAGGATTTTTTATTTTTTTTTAATTTTTTTGTTCTGTGGTTAGTACTGATTCCAGTTTCCAGTTCCTTTTGAACTTACTTTTTTTTTTTTTTTTTTTTTTTTTTTTTTTTTTAATCAAACAGATAAGCAGGTCTGCTAACACTTAATGCTTGTAGAGTGGTAAATTCACAGAATGTTCAAAATATTTATTAGAATAATTTTGGATAACAAAAAGCTTGTAAACTTAAGAGGATTTCTGGATGATACATATAAAGGTTTACCTTTACCACATCTTGCAGTCTCACTTTTGAACTGGAGCCACTGGCATGCATTGCAGTATTTATGTAATTCCAAACTGAGTGTTACATGTTGTGAACCCAGTGATCCAAAGCAAACAATTAAGCGAGACACCAGAAATGCCTTTTGATGAAAACATCTGCCATTTATGTTGACACGTAGAAAAAGAAAAGTGAATAGCAAAGAGTTACAATCTTTCTTCTGATGTTTAAGATACTGAAGCTAAAATCTGACATTATACTAAAATTACAGTGGCATTTTCCTATGCAGGAAGTATCTTTATCCTCTTAAACTGGGAAAATAGATACAAATTTAAGGGAAGGAGTCATCTTTCAAACTGCAGTCACACTTTATCCCATTAATACTTGCATTTTGTTCTCATTAGAAAATGGAGAAAAAAAAGATTTTAATCTTAATTACATGCTATTAAATAGAGAATTTATTCCCCTGACATTTAACCAGTAGTCAGGTAGTTAATTTCATCTTCATAAGCTAGATGAAATAATTATCTAAGAAATACATCAATAAAATTAAAACTACTTCTTGGAGACGGTGGATCACGGAAAAAAAATCAGAGCAGAAATTTTGCAGTTGCAATGATATCTATTAATTTCCTTTACTTCATTAGCTCATAACAAGGGCTTGAAGAAGAGTTAGAAAAAAATATCAACATAATTTATGTAGAAAAAGAAAATAGGTAAATTTTTATCAGATAAGACAAGAGAAGGAAAATATAATCTTGCAGGAGTTTTAGAAAGGCATTTCCTGTTACTCCATGGATTCCTTTGCAGAACAAGTTCAATCCTTGTATGAAATTACTAGGTACTACCTATAAGAGATTGCAAATAATGATTAGTATTAAAGACGCGTTATCAATATTTGCACTGCCAGTTAGATTTACTCTGCAGGAAGGTCATTTCTATGCCATTTTATTTTGATTATACAAGTCTTTTCTCATAGAGAGGCTGAGATTTCCACCTTCTATTACAAGCAGGTGCTTCAGAATTCCACATTTGGAATCAACATTCAAATTAGAACCATATCTGCAAAGTAATTCCCTTGAATTTTTGGAGGAAGATAAAGTCGTTATAAAATAATGTCTGGGAAATAAATAAATAAATAATAATAAACAAAATTGTTTCTGAAGAAATGCATCTTTATTCTTGCCTTTCAACTCTTGAAGAAATAAAGCACAGTAAACGAAACTTGATTTTTGAGAAACTGCTCAGGAATATAGATGTTAATATAAAAGCAATATAGTTATATTTTACATTCCATTCAAAAAAACCCCATCTCTTCAATAAGTGAATTTTCTGTGTTCTGTTCAAAGTCAGGTTACAATCTGAGACATATTTACATATATTTTCTTGGTTGTATCTTTAAATAGTTTAGAATAATGAACTTTTATCTCTTTATGTCACTGATAGTGTAATAGCACAAGAAGCCTCATTATTAAAATCTCTTTGCTTGCAACAGGACTAGTCTGCTTAGCTCAGTATCACCCTTTGATTTCTTTATATACACTTACACACGTATTTCACAGACATTAAAAATATTCAGTAATATATATTTCCTATGATGCATACATGCAGACATATGCAGGCCATAAAAGTGCTTGATTTCGTTTTTTTCAGCTTTTCCCAGAAACACATTTTCTTCCTCCAATTGCTCAGAGTGAGAAAACATTCTGCCATAAAAACATGTTAGAACTTATCAACATTTATCACAAGCTGAAATGGGCATAACAACACTTATTTTCTTCCATGTGCTGTGCGAATAGATAACTAAAGGAAGCTTTTTGAACTATTCCAAATCATTTTGTTCTTCCTGTAGTAGCACAAACTCTACAGCAAGAACGCTGACAACGCCCTAATTATTTTTAATTGGGAAAAATCTTTTTCTTCTCTTTTGAAAAGTTGCTTTGGGAAAAAAACAAAAAAACATTTCAGACAAATTTATTTCCTCTTCTTCTTTAGAATTGAGACTGCATGTTTGTTCTCCATACTTTACAGTAGTATGCCTTGCTACAGTTTGCTCTAGAGCAAAAGAAGTGTGTAATTTATTTCTTCTTCTTTTTTGTGAAGGTGAAACTTCAACACAGAGTAAGTAAAAATCTTCTGGAATTTCCATTTTGCCGCAACTTCGCAGATGACGAAGGGGAAAGAGTGGCTGAGCTTCCAGTTCTCATAGTCAATTCTCCTTTTCCACCAGGTTTGTTACAAATCAGAAACACTGGAAAAGATATTGCTAGTTGTGGTGGCTAAGATTTTCAATGCAGGCCAAAGGATTTAGCAGAAAATTTGTATTTACTTTTTAATAAGAATCTGAGTTCCCATAGTTAGATGTGCTTCTTGCATTCCAAGTCTGAGATCACTTTGGACATGTAAAAGAGAAAGTATGCTTTAAATGTTTTGAACAGTGTGCAGGGTTCTGCTTTTTCTCAGTAATGTTAATCTGGTGCTCTCTCGAAGGAAGTATAGGAAATCCAGAGAAAATAACTCTTGTACTATAATGTCAGATAAGGAAGTCATTGCCCCTTACAGCAGAAAATGATCACGCGTTCTTCTGTGACCTTCTATTCATACATCATGAAATTCCTTTATTTGAGTTATGCCTTGATCACCTCAAGACCAAATTGCTTTCATTAGTTTTGTGTTTCTTTGGGGATTTGATGCCAAAGTTAGTGAAGGATGCAAAAGCTCTTGTTCTGAATGGATATTCTGCCATGAGAATATCGCAATCACCTCTGTGCATTTCCCATGAGGTAAAGGGATTAGATCAGTATCCCAACCAATGTATTCCTTGCCTTTTTTTTTTCTTCCCTTCCCCCCCGTGCTTTTAAAGCTACTCTGAACAGAAGCTCCTTGAATTTGAATTTCAGAAGAGTCCTGCTGGAGTATTCCCTGGAAAGGCACTTTGCCTTTTAAATGCTTCCACTTTTTTTTCTTTTTTCCTGAAAATGTACGAATATGTAAGCCTTCACAAATATTGCTTTTCTTTCTAATAAGTATTAAAAATTAGTAAAGTTGCTGTTTTCTTACT